CCAATATATTTGCTGGTTTAAGGTCAAAATGGCAACCGATGAGTGATTTGTCCACATGGCTCGATCCTACGTTGAGGTCTTCCAGCTTCTCGGCTTCTTCTCCAACATTGTGGACCTTTGACAACGCCTCGGCGATGCCAATCATTTGGTTCCAAAATGAGGCACTGTGAGACCGACTATCACAGTGGACCTGACCATTATACTTCGGGTCTCGCAAGAACTCTTTGAGGTTGGTCTCTGCTCGGGGAAAGATGATGTTGAAAGTCTCGCCCAACGAATATGTCTTGATCATGCGGACGATGTGTGGATGGTCTAGTTTACGGACCATTTGGAGTGCTACCTTCTCGTGTGCGGCTTGAGTGACGAAAAGATCGCTCTCTTTGACGGAAATCTCTTTCCTTGCAAACTCGCTGACGTTGAGGTCCTGCACAACCTGTAAGTGGCCGCTACCTTATATTTTGAGCAAAAGAGCCATAGGCAAGAGGTAGATAATACTTTGAAGTCCTGATACCCCTCAGCAATTGTAAATGCTACGACCTTCGCATTCCCTGAATCGCTCGATATGTCTTCCTTTTCGATGAAGGGCAAAATCCTCTCTTTTCCCCATTTAACATAAGAGGAGTTACTCAGTGTTGGTACACAGAAGCGAGGAAGCTCTCTCAAAAATTCCCTGGCTGTGCCGATGGCAATCTCTTCATCGTCCTCCTTGTAGCCGGGCCATACCTCGTTCAGAAACTCTTCGGGTCTCTTGCCGATCCAGCCTTCAAGCTGACTGTCCTTTCGTTCTTTCCATGGAAAATATTGGATGAGTTGCGTGTGACGGATTAAGACCAGCAATGCAAGACTTGAAACATAGTCCTGCGGGATTTCGGATTTGTACTTGTCTTCAGACTTCGCAAAATCGTCAAGCTGGGCCCTCGAATCCGTCTTGCATGATTCGCACGTGCATGCAAGGATATCGCTGACTGCATTTTCCGTGAACAGCTTCCTTAGTTTAGGCTTGGGGAAGAAGCTGTTCGCGTGTGCGTCCGGACTGAGGTAGACTTGGATTTTGAGAAGCTGTTGTCTGTAATAGAAACAAGTCTTCCTAGCCTCTGAACTTGTTGTTGGTGCGTCTGCACCAGATGCGCTTTCCATCCCGCATCTCAAAGACTCATGCTGCGACGGAATACTCGTGGAACCGGTCGGGGCTGATGAATGCACTTATCTCCATCCAGTAGTTGATCTGAAACAAAAGGGTTAGGTAAAGGTGCTAGGAAACACAGCCGTCTAGTCTTTGTCGGATGCGCGTTGAGAGGAGATGATTTATGCAGAGTGTCAGCCTGAACACCCATCGTGGCTGAAAGACGGTGAGATAACAGGCCTCCCGCCCAGCTTGCTTGACAATGTAATGCGCGCAGCCACGGGTGGCTGCAGGCAACCGCGCACAATCTGGAGCGAGTGGCGCGAGCGGGTCAGGAAAACGCCGTGATGTGATTCATGTGCAGGATGTGCAGGGATATATTGATTATCGTTACATGCTCCATAAGCAGGGCGCTTGATTGGGAATGGAAGCGCCCTGGGATCGACGTCCTTATCGGGGCTGGTGGGATGGGCAAAGTGCTGCCTAGACCATATCTTTTGTTCCAGACACAGACTCAGCCTCGCCGCCCGCGACTCTCTTTTTCCGCCTCCAATCCAGAAAAAGCCACCAACCGACCGTAAGGACCAGCAGGATAATTGTGAGGGCGAGAAATATCCAAAGCTCGCTTGCAAGGTGCAATGTCACCGAATGCGCCTGTCGGTTTATTGTGATGTACCCCATGCTGAGCAGCTGCTATTCTTCGTCAGCTAGGATAAAAAGCAATGTGCAGCGTTGCATCAACGGCTTACCGAGGCAAAAGAGGCAGGCAGGTAAATCAGCGTGAGAACTGTTATCGTCTTCAACGATCGAGAATCATGGTAGGCTTTCTTTGACAAGTCCACCATTGTGTTACTATCAACTCTGGCCAATTTCATGATCTCAGTGGAGGATGTACTGCTGCACTGGAGAGCTGTAAGGCCACGAACTGAGACGATGGTTTGCATCTGAAGTGGTGATTAGACATGAGCCGCATTTGATCGTCGGGAATACGTACCAGTTTGGCTACAGAATCAAGCCGCGCAATCATCGTCTCCACTCTCCTTCGATGTTGCACTGTCCTTGAAATGCATATTTCTAAACTTCCTCGAGCCTCGGCGTCATGTTGAAAAAGGCCTGCAACCTTATGCGATACATCCAGGTTGTTCGTCAGCATACTTTCGATACTGTGTAGTTCGTCGTGAAGTAATTCAAGCTGTTGCATATCGGGGAACTCGATCCAAACAGCGCCGCTCTTGGAGTCTTTCCCTTTACTTGGCAGGTCCGAATTGTGAGCTCGCGTTTTCTTACGAGATATTATTAGCAATGTCCCCCCTTTTGAGCGGCAAATACTTACAAGATCGTGGATCTTTTCATCAACTTCGTTAAAATATGCCCCCCATTGCCTCGATGTTGATGCGAGAGCCAAAATGTGGATGCCTTCCCATTTCACTGAACTGTTACCGTCTTTGTGGATTGCTCTTAATCTCTTCGAGAACGAATCAGATGGGTTCAGCGAGATGAAGACATCCTCATCTTTCTGAGAGTTTCTTTTATGGTATATACCAATTTGACGGATAGACCAAGGGTTTGGACAGGAATCTCGACCATTTCTCTCAATATGCTTTACCAAATAACAAATTTCTGTGAAATTCAGCGATCGTCATTGGCAGACTTTTGGGGGCGGTTTCACCAGTGACTGCAGAATTCGGGTGTGAGAGAACTTGACAGCAACCCATAGACTCGTTGACGGGGATGGTGAATTCCCCAAAAGCACTCAACAGATCAAATATCGCGGGGAACACCCCAAATCGGGTGAGCATCTTCCGAAACGCATCAAAGGATATCCAGAATTTTCCCCATGATGTCTGTTGCGCAATTGATCTGCAAAGTCGAGATTGAATTAGCTGTCGGGATGAATGCCGGATGATGGCGCTTTACATCATCTTGATTCCTTGGGAAGATGGCTTTGCAAGGTGTTCACTCAGTCCGGTCGCATCGAGAATCGCTGGGGCTGAAACAACTCGTCAGTCCCAAAACCACAGTTGGATATAATAGTCCTCACCAAGCTTGCTTCCCATCTGCATGACTTGCACAGCAGTCTTGTTATCCGACACGAATAAACGATTAGAATTGTTTTTGAAAAACTCGCGATCCGCCTCCACATCGAAAAGGTAGGGATCGTATGCCTGGGTCGGAAGGCATGCGGGGTAAGTTTCCCAATCCATGGCAAGACTCGTACACAACAAGTAAGGGACGCAACGAGAACGGCCGACGTTTGGAGAGGCACAATCGCTCTTATACCCCCTGTTCATGCGAGCAAGGCTGAACCAGTTAAGCCTTGCGGGGCAATGACGTGATTTTAAACCAATGGTTTTAGAATAAGGTTGTGATTCATATCTAGTCAAGCCCAGCCTCGTTACAGTCCTCTCTCTCAGTCGATAGCTAGCGTGGATTTGTTTTTCGCTCATATCATGGGTAGCTGAAGCTATCGTCCGGACATATATGTACAATTAAAAATTATACATATATGTCCGGACGATAGCTTCAACTACTTTTCTAAGAACGAGCTAAGGCATAATTACGCTTAGGGTCTTGCTATTCTTCACGCCAGCCATCGGCAGCGAGAGGGAAACTATATAACATAGAGCAGATTTCGATATTATTTCAATAGCTATACAAATCAGACCGGCTTCCATTAGTCCAATTTCTATAAAGATTCATCTTAGTTGCTCCTACAATCATCATGCTTCCGCCTCACGCTCCATAAGTCGGAGGTTTGGCGCTCTCCTCCTGCAACTTTACGATCTCATCCTGTGGAAGGCAAAGTCAGCACATTCTCACATGGAGTCCAAGACGTATACGTACATTTGTCAGTTTTCTCTTTATAGAAATGCTCCACTGCCCCCCTTTGTCGAGTTGCTAATTCTTTCAGTGAGCGAACGTGAGCCCTGCCGTCGTCGGAGCATGCCTACATCGATTTGATAATCGTCCCCAAATTCTGCCTTCTTGCTTTCGAGGAAGTTCAAAAGAACGTTTTTCGAGATGTAACTGCCTGTGTCAGCCTCACGCGTTGATAGTTCAGTTCAGATAGCTAACCGTCCTTGCAGGGTCTGCTGTTGATAGCCAGCCCCACCCATGGCGAAAATAATTTGCGAAATTGTCTCCAGCTCAGCCAGCCTCGAAATCAGCCGTATATAGGCGAGGCAGACAGCAGGCAAAAGGAGGCAAAGCATAGCAGGCAGCAGCTAATTCCTGCTTGTGCGCAGTTGTGTTCGTGGACGCAGACGTGCAATCAACCTATTGGTCGGAGATAATCGTGCTGGGGCGGACTTCCGTAGTACAAAAAGCCACGGCGCTAATAAGTTGCGCATCCTTGGATTTGCACAGCCGCGTCGCGGGTCATGCCGATTCAATCTGCAGGACGATGGGGTCTTGGCTGTTTGACCGGTCGGAGCTGGGACACAGAGCCTCGTGGGACACCATTTAACCCAATAAGTTCTCACGCGAAAGGATGCATCCCGCCAATAACGCACAGTAGCTCAACGCACCCGCATGACGTTTGAAGCTGCTGCACCAACGCTGTCAGGTACTCTCGACTTTTGTTTCGTCCACGAGAACCCCCAGAAGCCAGATGGCCGAGAACCACGAAATGTCATCCCAGACTACTGGTTGCCGTAGTCGCAACAGCTTTGCAGATGAAGATAGCGTGCTACCCACAGGGCCACATGGCCTCAGGCCACAGAATGCGACACTTGTACCATCGAATAATCTCACTGTACTGGATGTCATCGCGCTCATCTTGAACAAAATGGTGAACTGCTCGACCTGTATCATTAAATATCAGACGCTGATATGTTTCAAGGTCGGAACGGGAATTTTCACCAACCCAGCAGCCGTAATGGTGCTGACCAAGTCTAAGACCGTCAGCATGGTCCTTTGGTTCGTCGGTGGACTTTATTCTTTCATTTGGTGGGTGAAGTTCCGTTCAACGTGTATCTCCGACCGTATCATTTCACTACAGAAGGCTAATTATACATCTCAGTCTCTTGATCTATCTCGAATTTGCTTCAGCATTCCACTATAATGGTGGAGAGCTCATTTACGTGAGGCTGTAACAAACGCTGCAAACTACCAACCGCTGATGCTAAATAGCTCGACCGATCTTACAACTGCATACCTCTTCTTGCAACCGTACTCTTCTCTGGCTACTTCATTGCGCTTGCCAATACCGTCGGTAATTCCATTGCATTTGCCAAACACATTCTTGTTGTCGCGACCGGAGAGTCCGACTTCAACGACAAGGCTGAGCTCGTGCGTTACATCGCAATCTCCATCCTGACAGTAGTCTGCTTTTTGCACATGATATCCAACAACCTTGTCCTGTTTCTGAACAAGACCTTTGCGTATTTCAAAGTCCTTCTCCTCTTCGTCGTTGCTTGTAGAGGATTTTACAAGCGGAATCCCGATGCCCTAAACGATTGGAGTGGGGCAAGTGATTTCAAAAGCAGCATGGCAGCTCTGGTACCCATCTTCTACGCCTTCGAAGGGTGGGAGAACGCAACTTACGTAAGCCATGTTATCCACTAAGCTAGCGGTGTGAACTTCAGCTCACAAGTCGGTTGCAGGTCACTGGAGAGTTCCAGCGTATGAGCACGGGGAATGTGGAAGACAAAAAGAAGCTCAGACAAGGATCTTTCGTAGCTGTGTTTATAGTCACAGCCCTATACATGCTAGCTACCGCCGGCTATGTAAGGATAAGAAGCACTATAATTCAGCCTGCTGCTGCTAACTTTGACAAGTTCTGCGTGTTAACATACGATGAGATTGAGAATCAAGAAGGATCTGGTGGAGATCTGTCTATAGTTACTCAATTTGCTCAAGCGGTAAGCTGTCCATACTCGTGTCTTGTACTTAGTTCCACTGACTCTCAAACAAAGGCTTTTGGTAACTCCGTCGGCATTGCTATATGCATCTCCCTCTCCGCAGTTGGCAATCTCATTGCCGTCATATACACTTACAGCAGAGTGAAACAGTCGATGGCCATCCAGAGCTTTCTTCCTTTCTCCAATCTACTGAAACGAAACAAAGACCATCCGATTGGAGGTATAGTTGTTCACTGGATCGTCACAGTAGCTACAATAATTGCCCTTCCAAATGATGCCGATGGATACGGTTTCGTCGTCGGAATATTTTCGTATGGACATACCATCATTGCCGGTAAGAGTCCTGACGGGATGAATTCTAATACATATGTAAACCAATATGCTAACTTCATGAAGTCTTCACAGGCTTGGGGTTTGTCTGGATTCGCACTACGGTTGACCGCACAGAATGGTTCAGATACGTCGATGGATGGCAAGCCGATTTCAGCTGGTGGAACCACGGGTACAATCGCGTCGCCATTGCATTCGTCTTCATTCTACTCAACATGAATGTCGTCGTTTGCGCCCCCATGAACCTGAAGGGAGACGCTGATGGCATTCCTCGTTGGCGTTGGCCTGTCATATTCTTCGCGGTGGAAGGGGTTTCATTTGTTTACTGGGCCATCTTGAGGCTCATGGATACACGGCGCTTCGAGGATATCATGAAGTTTCGACTTCATATTTATACTGCGGAGAACAATCCGGATGCAGCGGAAAAGGAAGAATCAAGGATTGATGGAAGCAGACGGAGAGTGCATGTCGAGGTAAGTTCAAGCTTACAGTCGTGCTTCGCGTGGTATATGAAGCTGACAGCAAGAAGTATAGTCAAACGGCGTACGGGAAGCTCATCGACACGACCCGAGGGTTTGGAAAGAAATTGCAGAAACATTTTTGGTAGAGGAAGCGCTGTTGTTTGATGTCAGTGCAGAATGCGTCCCACTCTCCCTGGAACTTGGAGCATATGTACATTTGTATTAATTGTTTGACTTCATTTGAATTTCTGTTATTGCGCATGCATTAGTAGGGGCATTGGGGGCATTGGGGGCCCTCACAGAACGGATGTTCCACGCGTTAAAATAATGTTTGTACGGCTTATTCATCATTCAAAAACAAAAAATTTCATTTTAGCTACCGTGTCGCAAGTAGGTGAGGCTAGAGTCCAGGCTGAGCCTGTTTTGATTGGTGCTGGAATCGCTAGTCAGCTGATGGGGGCGCTTAGAAGAATTTCCTACCCCGCAGGAGAATCTTCAAACGCGAGGCTGAGAGCTCAACTTACCTCTCCACAAACCTCACATTGCTTTCTGCGTTTTCAAACTCCACTATTTGCTACCGGTCATGCTCATCGGATTCGGGCTAAAAACTCAATCGACCTACAAGTACAGCCCCTTGAACGAGGTCAATGCAATTCGGCTCCTCCGACTGGACGACGAGCCCGACGCATGTGAAGACGATGTCCATGGAACGCTCATCCACACTACACTCGACAGCGCCCCACCTTACTTTGCCCTCAGCTACTGCTGGGGAAGGTTGAAACAGAAAGATGCCCTTTTCTGCGACGGAAAGCCCCTTCGAATCACTCCGAGCCTCGCAGAAGCGCTTCGCCGGCTCCGATCACTCCCATCCGATCAAGCGCAATATCCTGGATGGGACCTAGAGAACAGATATTTCTGGATAGACCAGATCTGCATTAATTAGGCCGATACGGAAGAACGACAGTCCTAGGTGCAGATTATGGGTCATATCTACAGCCACGCCATTCGGACGCTGATCTGGCTGGGACCTGATCCGAATGGGGTCGCGGTTGAAGGTTTCGATCTGGCTGGAAGACTTCTGAGAATGGGAGATGACGAAACGAGGAAGATGGGAAGATCCACACGCCTTTTAGCAACGGCAGGGTTCGACCAAAGAATCGCAAATATTCTCCAGCAGCTTCATTTGGAGCACGGCAGTACAAACATCAACAGCAAACCTTGGTCAAGTTTCATTGACCTTACCTCTCGCCCGTGGACTACCAGACTTTGGGTAATACAGGAAGTCGTCTTATCCGCAAAGGAGCCTATTGTACTATGCGGGCGCTTCACGTGCGGCTGGGCTTCGTTTGCATGTGCTGCGTCATTCATCCTTTCAGACCCTGCGAGTGCAGACCTTGTCGTGACGCATGACAGGTATAACTGTCTTTACTGCATTAATCAGATTAAACGCATTCGAGAGAGTGGAAACAATAGACCGAGCCTTGCGACTTTGGTCAACTTAACAAGCTATATGTTTTTCACTTCAAACCCTCGAGATAAGGTCTTCGGTCTTCTTGGTTTGGCATATGAAGCAAGAAATATCGGTCAGCTACCAGAGGCCCTGCAGCCTGATTACCGCTCGAAAACAGCCAGAATTTATGCCAGAGTTGCAAAATATTTCATCATGGAGCATCCACAGACCCTGGCCCCAATCTGTTCGGATCTCTACGCACATCCCTTGCCTTGGACACGGAACTATTCATGGTCGAGGTCGTGTCAGAAACGAATTCCAACATGGACGCCAAATTGGGACCATAACCAAGCAATCTCGCTCTGGACAAACGTCATGAGCATTGAGACCAGAGACCCAAGCAGCGAGGCTAGCTACACAAATCCAGGTTATGAATGCAGCCTTGAATTTGACTCCAGATGTTCTGCCGCTGCGGACAGTCCTGTTTGTAAACAACCTGATGGAAATAGCGGCCATATAAAGCTCCGGGGCATCGTAGTTCATACGGTCACGATATGCTTGCCTGTTGAAACAGCGTTTGGCCAACGGCAGCGCTTACATGGCCGGATCAGACATGTGAGAGAATACCTTAGCCAGGAGGTCAGGGGCGAAATGCAGCGACTCCACAAAACGGCAGATATTATCGACCGGGTAGTTCTGACAGCCTACGAGATTTTTTCTGTATTCCGGCAGCCATTGACCTTGCGAATTTTGGAAGCTGCTACAGCGAGACGACCAGATATAGGACCGCTTTTTATGCTTCAAATCCTCACGCGAATCCTAACTTCAACGACAACAACTCCTTCTCATGATGCGACTTTCGACCTCAACGAATATTATTTATCCGAGCTACGTAAACTTTGCACGGCTTTAGTCAGCCTAATTTCCGACGAACGCCGACGAACTTCACGACCCAAATATTTCCAAGAATATGATGAGACGTTGAGAGCTTTGGGAGGTTCTGAACAAGGGTGGGAGTATCGCATAGGGCGTATTTGTCATGGAAAGCGGTTCTTCATCACCGCGGCTGGTAGAATGGGAATTGGACCACCTTGTATAACGAAAGGGGACATTGTGAGCGTACTTTATGGGAGCGGCGTTCCCTTCATTCTGAGACGAAAGAGAAGTTCCAAACGAGCGACCGGTTTTCAGAGAACCGGAAAAAGTGACCTCTTCGCCATCATTGGACCCTGTTATGTGGATGGGATCATGAAGGGAGAGGCTGTGGAAGCAGCACGCGAAGGACGACTACAAGAGCAAGACTTTGAGATATTTTGAGCTCGGGCGTGGTTATTCCAGGATCGAAGAAATTTTGGGATTCTACTTCACTATGGAGAGGCAACTTTCCGTGACCAAATGATTCAATTACTCCCCGATCAGTCTATGGCACTGCCCTCTAATCCATGCAAAGGATGCGGCTCTGCTGTAATTTAACAAGCTTCAGCAACTCAGATGACCAAGCCCCGCTCAGCTGGCCCCCACCATGTCAGCTTTTCGCACGAGCGTCAGCGCCAAGACATGCACTCTGCCTTGTGGAGCAGCAAGCAGTGAGAGCGATCGGCGCGTCAAAACCAATACAATTATGAGCAATTAGTGCCGTTTCTCGCAAATGTAGGGATGCCTTCCACTTGCGGTCAAAACTCCTAGAAATAGGATCCCAGGTGTCATATTGTTTTCCAAACTTATCAACAGGGCTGGAGCCCCCTGTACTTCATTAAGAATGCTGCGAATCAGGTTCGCACACATTCTTGTTGGTTCGATTACTCAGAATGCTTTTGGTCGGGAAGTGACTCCTTTCGAAAATATAGAAATGATCATCACCTATGCCGAACGCTGAAAAGGCGGCGACTGCCATTGCATAACCAACACTTCTTATTGCTCTCTTTCTTGTTGAGATGGATTTCCTTCACGGCCTGAGCTTTGCGGAGTCGATGGGACTGAATATCATTTTCCAGGACCCTTTCCTCTATAAAAACAAAACATGTTGGCAGCAAACTGACAACGACATTGCCGGTATTGGTGTAGGTTCCAGTGTCCCATCCAATCAAACAACAACATCTAAGCGGTGAACAGGTTGTTTCAGCTTTCATAGCAACTGCAACTTTTACAGTAATTCTGTCAGTATGCGCAGCCATACTTGACGGCCTTTCGAGCCCTGGAGGCGTTTTACCGAATAGAGTAAACGTCTGGCTTCGGCGAAATGTCCCTCGAGGACTGCAAGAAGAGCGGGACTCATGGCGCGAGGTTTTGGAACAGATAATGATTGTCTTGTCCGACCAGCAGCTCCTCACAGGCATCACCATAATGGTTAGCGGCTACGTCCGAGCGCGGAACACTGGCATCTTCGACGAGAACTGGCCATATATCGTTCATCTTCAAGAGAACCATTTCCATCTGATTGTATACCTGAGCTGTTTGTCCAGCAGCTCTCACCTGGCAAGCGTGGTAACTCTCAAAAGTTATTTCCGCACACGCTACGCTCCGGCCCAAATTCGCTTGGCCCTGGTAGTCATTTTTGCCATTCTACTCGCTACATCCTTCGTCATGTCATGGCCTTTTGGACTCTCCGCATTGGCTGACGTCATTGCCTACGGGGGTGTGGTGTACGAGGGAGACAAACCCACGCTAGGGAATGGGTATCGCGTCCTCTTCTGGTCCTTGAATGGTATTGCAGCATTGCTAATGCTCTATCCCTTCTGGATTGCAACCATCAACATCTTTGAAAATCTCAGAGATAGGATACAGAAAATGATCAGCAGAGTGTGGCACACTCAATCTCGCTGGTCACCAACGTACTGGATACGCTCCGCAACGCACCTCCTCGGAAGGCGTAGACACCGCTCGCAACCGAGAAAAGAGACGCGGCTCAAGAGGCTCATCTGGTTTCTTCTTCTCGGCTCTACCCGCACGGCATTCTTCCAGCAGTTGTTCTTCTTCTTCGTCTCCCTGGGATACGTTCTTGTCCAAAAGACGGCCAATAGCCCGTACCCAGATGTCTTTTGCGATCTCACTACCAGTGGGCCAGAACGCTGGGGATTCGGTCAGATTTTGCCGGTGCTCTTGCTCGCACAACCTATCCTGTCTGCTGTGACAGCATACTACGGTAAGTGCAAATGAGACAAGAGGATCCCTTTACGGAACAGTCTACTGACTTTGGTCTCTCATAAAGATGTGTTTAAACCTCTAAAGGCTCCTAAAACATCAATCTCAACGCATCAACTACTACTGCAGCACGAGGCACAGGAAGCAGACGAAGTCGAGCTGGGAAGCACGAGGTCTGAGGAAAGGAACAAGAGCAGATGAAACGGCGGGTGGTATCATTGGAATGTGCAATTTCTATGTGGGCTTTGTGTTTACTTGTAGCTTTCTTCATCAAAAGCCATCATTCCCTTGTACTAGTAGAGCTCGGGATAATCAGCTTTAATAATGTCAGATCCCTTCTCAGCGATCATGTACACAGCGTTCTGAATGCGACAGTCTGGAATGACTGGGATCACGGATGCGTCGATCACGCGGAGGTTCTTCATGCCGTGGACCCGGAGCTTTCCATCAACAACACCCTGCTCAACGCTCTTCGAAAGACGGGTGGTGCCGCAAGGATCTACAAGTTATCAGGAAGAATGCTGAGAGGAATCACGGGGAGGAACTTACGGAAGCCAGTCTGCGAGCGCTCGAGGATCATCTTGATCATAGCCTCGTCGGAGGTCCTTGGCATGGGCCATGGGTAATCACCCTCGATGATGTCCTTCATCCCCTCGCCGTTCATGACGATATCATCAATGAAGCGAACACCTTCCCTCAGTGCAATGAGATCCAGCTTGTTGGAGAAGAAGTTGATGTTGATCTTTGCCTGATCCAGCGGGTCGGCGGAGTTCAGCGTAACCGTACCGTTCTGAGAAAGAGGACGCAGCAGATCGACGATGACGGTGAAGTAGTCGCCTTGTGGTGGCGTGGGGAAGTGCCATTGGAAGGCGTCGCAGAACATGGGCTGGGGTCGTTAGCGTAAGTCCTGCGCCGCAGGAGTTGAGTACTCACCACAAAATCAACTTCAAAATGCGGCTGCCCTCCGGGGCCAAACGGGTCAACACCACCGTTCTTCTCGAGATACTCAACGTATTCCTTCTGCTTTTTGAGACGCTCGTCGATTCTGGGCAGCCCAATCAGCTCGAGCAGGCCACTGCTCAGGGGCCCAGTTCGATCACGACGGTACGCAGCGACGGCACCGTCCTTTTCGGCACCCGCGCGGAGGAGGTGGTTATCGAGACCATAGCCATCCTTGAGCTTGAATACGTGCGAGAGGATTGGGTGATCCAACAGGTTCTGTCCGACGTGAGGCGAGTCCATCACGGTCTCAATACCGAACGCAGAGAGCTCTTTCGCGGGACCAATGCCGGAAAGCATCAACAGCTTGGGGGATTCATAGACGCCAGATGACACAATGACTTCATGCTTGGCACGCAGAGAAAGGTCGTTGCCATCGGGCGTGATGACCTCAACACCAACAACCTTGTCGCCCTCGATGATGAGACGTTTCGAGTTGGTTTGCGAAAGGACGGTGACGTTTTCTTTGCCCTCGAGGAAGACCCAGCTGGAAGACCGGACGCCCTTGTAGATGGAACTGACTGCGGTGGCCAGGCCGTGCATCTCACCGTCGTAAATCTCGTCATTCAGTTTCTCGCCCTTGCTGACCCAGGCTTTCTTCAGGGCGTCGCGGAACGGAGCGGATTCAGAGACGAGCTCAACGGGCGAAACGTGGAGTGGACCGTTGGTGCCGATGTGCTTCAGATATTCTGGGAATTGCTTTTCGTCATCATGGAAGGTGGCCGGCTGTCACTGCCATGTGAGTCCGATTGCAGTGTGAAACGCAATGGAATACAGACCTTGTCAAAGTACTCCCTGCACGTGTCCCAAGTCCATTCGTCACCACCGTAGTTTGCCCACTCGTCGAAAGTAGCCCTGCTTCCCCTGATCCAAGTGTAGTAGTTCAGGCAGCTACTGCCACCAAGGACTTTGCCACGGGTGTTGGGCTTTTCGACCCGAGTGTATTCGGGGCGATCGATCATGGTCGTTTTGTAGGCCCAGTCCCACGGGCTGCCGCGCAGCTCGAAAGCACGAGCAGGAGTTGTGATGGCTTCATTGTCTTTTGGATTGCTGTTCAGGTGTTGGAAACCACTTTCGCCTTGAGATTGAGATAAATGAGAACTTACTCAACCCCAGCTTCGATCACAAGAACCGAAACCTTCGGATTTTCAGCCAAACGACCGGCCGCTACGCACCCAGCCGTACCGCCTAATCTTCAAGTCAGACCATAGACCTCAAGAATAAGAGAAATATGAGAAATGCTCGTCACGTACCACCAACGACGATGAAGTCGAATTCTTTGGGGATGTTGCGAACACGGGACATTTTGGAATGAGAAGCAAATGTTTGTGTGAAAGATGCAGATGAGTGATGCTGCTGTGAATGTCTACTGGAGTTGAAGTCAGAGGCAGATACTTATATTTTTCTTCTGAGTATACTGGATGGTATCTTCGGATGTTTGAGTCAAAAGGCTGGATCACTCAGGCTGCAGACTGCTGACAATGCGTGCGCAGTGCTCGCCGTGGCTCCAACTCTGCATTCCAACTCTCCGTCATAGCCTACTAGTCATTCATCCTTACTTCCAGGCCGTGTCAAAAGGGCGCTCCGGGAATAACGACTTCATGGTAGCTCATGCAAGTTCCCGGGGTAGCCTAACCCTTTGTAGGAATTTGCAGTAGATACTCTCCGAACACCGGAAGACGTATTCTCGTATTGTCGCGCAAATCCGCGTTCTCCAAAGGCCACTCGAGTGGATTTTACGAGAGTTGAGTCTAGATAATACGATCTTGGTAATGCACATTGCTGCAGACGGCAACGCGGACATGTTTCGTGGTGCGGAAATCGTTCGGCCCCGATCTTTAGCCTTCCTAAAACAGACTGGTATTGCTTTATACTCCTGCTTATTACTAGCCGCCCTTCCTTTTCAAAGCTGATTCAGCTAGTCTGTAGCTGCAGCTAAGGTTTAGCGTTCGGACTTTTCTCGCAACACCGCCATTGGCGCTCACTCCACAAAATTGAACCCCGTACGTCTTCCAGCATACTGTTTGTACGGGGTCAAGACCGACACCATGTCAGCTGTTCTCTTTGAATACTCTAAGCATTTCCGCGGAGTGGTAGATGATGATATCTAAAAGCTTCCCACCTCCGACAGAAGGAATACTCTGGAAAAGCGCTGGGATCAGATACGTGATACTGTAGAGGGGCAGTTGAAGCGTTGATACGGAGGTGCTGGTTGAACTATACGTAGAGATATTGCAGCCAAAGATTAACGTGAATTTGCTTTCCGCTCATGCCACGGGTAGTTGAAGTGATCATCCGGACGTGAATGAATAATTGTTAATTTGACATTTACGTCCGGACGATAGCTTCAACTGTAGCTAGATCTCTCTAGCCAATTCTTTTGCTTATGGCACCGCTGTTAGCGCTGTCTCATTCACGTGCTCCTGCACTCAACCGCAGAACCGATAATTTTTTACGGCATACTGTTATCAGACCATTGATAGTGAACAATTTTGTATGCACGCTCAATGTGTAGCTGGAAAAGCTTCATGTCTTTGGCATTACCTCAGTACATAGTAGGTTGGGCATGTGAACTGATCGATACCATTAATGAGGCTGTGTCTCCTGGCGCTTTTCTATACTCAATCAAGCATCGAACAGGGTCCGTACACTCAGTTTACCAACTTCCCTAGACGATGAATTTGCCACGAGAGAGGAGGAGGCAATTTGTGAGTCTCTGGGGGCCCACGAGGTTCAGTAGAAATAATGTCTGCTCACTTTCGACCCATTTCTCCTTGTAGCCACTACTAGTTGAAACAATTCATCCTCTTCGAGACCAGCTACGAATATCTAATGTTATTGATGTGGAGGATACTTGTAGGCTGCATGATCAGAAAGCCACTCTGCAATATGTTGCTGCGCGTATCCAGGCAACACGTTATGTCTACCTAAAGGAGCATTGGGATGCGGAGGACGTACTTCTACGTGAAGGGCAAATAATTGCCTGCAACTCAATGAGAAGGAGATCTTCAATGCCATCTGTTTTAATTAGTCTCTTTTTCTCGTGATGACAACTTATGATGTCACTTGCGGGGCATCGCTAAGAAAGCCAATCAGTCACTATGGCAGGCATCGCCTTTTCTTGTCTCCTGCATTGCATTTTCAGCCAGCCATAAAAATACCCCACCATCGGTTCGAGCGGCTGCAACATATGCACGTCAGCATTAGCTCCTTGAAACGTACTCTTTCTGTTTCGCGGCCTTGGCACATCTCGCGCACCGTCCACTCACCATGCTCTGTGAACCTTCTAGACCGCCTCAGAAGACGCAGTTACCTACTGACTATGCGACTTTTCGAATATAAGCACAAAAATGAAATATTTGAATGGGATCGGGGATCCGAAAACCACAACATGTAGGATCGTCTTCTGGGAATTCATAGAGTATGAGAACAGAGACTTTTGTGTTCAATCAACCGGGCCATTGCCACAAAAGCAACAGCGCAAGTTGCCAGGATCAAGGTTCTCGCGTCACACCTGAACATGAAGCATGCCAGGCGTCGTTTGTTTGGCTGAGTACTACGCAATTTTAGCACTGACCCGCATTGCATCTGACCAAGCATGCATGAGATCCATGGTTTTCGGTGCGTTGTATCGAGCCAAGATCCGGGGAAAACGCAGACAGCAACGCCTATAGAAGCATCTCTCATCCTCCTTTTCATGAATTCGGCTGAGGCAATAACGGCGATCTGCAGCCAAGTTCGTTCAGAGAATTACTGGTTGAGTGCAGCCCGATTCCAAATCATGTTCACGATCTCGGCACGAACTATTACTTCCGCCGCCATTAAGAGTTGGCCACTTGTCAAAATATGACAACATGTTGGTACACTATCGGGATTGATACGAGACCCCGCGCTCGCTGCCTGCAATGCGAGCTGGTGGAAGCTCATGTGAAGCCAAAGGTTCCAATTTTAACGGTATAGTCACATGCTCAAGGTTGTCCACTTTGTCTATAAAAATGAGCAGTCTATTACAATCAATTCAAAAAGCAACATTTCCATTCATTCACTACCTTGATGCATACAGCGATCATGGACATCCATGAACATGCTCGAAAAGGAACCCTCGTGGGGGCCGTGCTCAACGATCATGTCAAGAAGAACCCAAATCTTCTGAACGAACTGGATCCCAAAACGGGCTGGACCCCGCTAGCGGCGGCCACAGTCAAGGAACATGTCGAAGTGGTGGAACAGCTGCTCAAGAAATGTGCCAGAGCTGATCTTCGATCAAAAAATGGCGAAACTCCACTCCTCCTCGCTACCCGCAATCCAATTATCAACCGTCCTCGCATCATTGAACTACTTCTCCAAAAGACACCTCCTTGTTTCGTTGACATGACTTGTTCAGATGCCGACAAAAACACGCCGCTGATGTTCGCCACCAAGCAAAAAGACCTCGAGTCGATCAGACTGCTACGAAATGCTGGGGCTTGTCCAATGCGGAGGAACAACGATGGCTTCAGTGCAAAAGACTTGGCCGAGCAGACCGAAGACAAAGCCGTGCAGCGTGCGCTCTACCTGGACAAGGATCAATCAGATCTGTTCAAATTGGTCAAATTGGTTCTCGATTTGCTTCTCTTCGTTATTACCTGGGTTAACCAAGTCACCGGAGCCATCTGCCGGATGTACAAGCTGGACACTGAAATGTATCAATTCACGAGAGAGGCAAGCACTAGAACTTCGATCAATATCACAAATGAAGGCCATTCTGCTAACGGAGAGTCACAGCTTGTGATAAGCCCAATCTGCGAACCAAACAGATGCCCAAACCAGGTCAACGCCAAATCCCCGTGTTATCTCCCAGATGACGATATGTGCGTTGGCGAAGGCTCCCCGCCCGATGATGAATTTCAGGAGTTGAGTGTGAAAGTCGATCGCATCGTCAAAGAAACCGCCCTGGAACGCTTCTTCGAGAGAAAAGAGAACTACATGAAAGAGGTGATACAGAAGGCTGTACACCTGAAGAATGACAAAAGCACATCTCTTGGCGGTGACGGCCTTCTCCACAAGACGATCAAGGTGTCCTTGCATCAGCAGGTAGTCTACTGCGGTGAGTATATTGTGGTCATAATTACCCTTTTAGTCCAACTCTCACAACCAAGGTATAGATGACAGCTCCTCAATGCGCGGCAGCCTCAATGGGGAATCCCAAAAGACTCTTTGGGATTGCCAGAAAGACCTTGTCAAGCGCATCACTCAGATCACTACATTGATTCTTCCCGAAGGTGAGGGCGTTGTGCTGCGGTTCATCAATAAAGACGTAAAAAACTCCTTAAATCTTACGACCGCGGAGATAGGCCACAAGCTGGCAGGGATGGAGCCGGTACCAACTAACGACAGCCACACCAAAATTGGCACTTCGCTGAAGTCCAAGGTCCTCAAGCCACTTGTGTATGACAGGCTCAAGGCAGAGGGCCTCGAGAGGCCACTTCTCATCTCCGTCATCACTGACGGCAGGCCTAACGGCGAAAATCAGAGCGAACTTGTCAACGCGATCTTGGAATGCGGTAAAGAACTCGAAGATGCTGGATATCATCGCGAAGGTGCGTGTTATGCCCTACCCTCTTCTCCTAGCCCTCGCATTTCTGATGGTATCAGTTGCTGATCATATCAATCTGTAGATGTGAAGTTCGTAATTGGTCAGATAGGAGCGGCGAATGCAGCAGCGGAATTTTTAGATACCATACGCGGCAATGCGGAGATTAGGAGAGTGGTGTACTGTACTACGGGTAAGTCGGCTGTCGAGCTGTGCATACCATGCATGTCGTGCATCCCTCACCTGTATTGGCACTGACACATTGTAGATCGACTGGACGAAAAATTTGCGGAGTTCCGCGAGAACAAGGAGGGTCTAGACCAATGGGTAAGCATTACCTTTATTTCTCCACTCCTAACCGTATTGCCGGCATCGGTGTCGCTAATCTGTTTTTTCCCAGCTGATCGACACCTTGTACAAACCTATCATGAATCTTGAACAGTGAGGAGGCCAGTATGTATGACGCGCCACCCACTTTTAGCACTGACTGGCTGACCGTTTCCATTTCTGTTATGACCAAGAGCTATACCTCAGCATTATCAGATGAGGGTGTTGGTAACCAAGAACAGCGAAGACGTAGTAAGGTTTGTTGTTTTGAGCAAAGCATGCTGATGGGAAATTGACTCAACGATTTCGGTTACGTGCTGTTGGATACGTCCTTCGGAGAAGTCATTCATTTCTAGCTTTGAAATTGATAATCAGGCAGATTGAATGGCGGTCGTTTTCATAATTTAACCAATATTATGCCACTTTTATTAAGTGCGTAATTTATCAAGCTTTCCTTTACTCCATTTTGCCACTCCTCTTTTGACTTTCGTTAAAATACATGTAACAAGTCGGCACCTTTTTTCCGTGAATGATTTCCGCCGACGGCTAGCCAGTTGCCGAGATGCACGGCATCGCTGACGTGTATGAACTCGATCACCTACATATGGGTTACTAAATCCCAAGCAACGTGCTATTCAGCTGACCAGTAGGTATTACTGGAGCAGCCTGCCGCCTTTTCAGCCTTAGCACTGCCAGTGCAAAGTTCAGATAAAATTCTGTATGCTTGGGACTGGTATAGGACGAAGTATGCGAAACATTTACTGTGGCTGACTCTTGGGCTTTCACTTATTAGAGAATGTCTTTCGCCTTCTTTATGACATCCGGAACTGAATAATTGACCTCAAAACCATTGAATCTTGGAGACTGAGCTTCAGTTTGGGCTATAAATAGTACCCCACGACTAGATATTTATCCTCTATCATGCTGCCGGCCTCCGAGTCCCAACTATTGTCCGCGCCCTGCAGACGTTGAGTCTATGGAGCCGGACTGAAGACAACACCCCTTCCCAGATACCTCTAGACCATCTCTAGTTGTTCGCACTCTGCGGGAGCTGAACGCCTTGTGACCAGTTGAAGAAGTTGCCCTTGTCCCAAATCTGCTTCACGCGGCGCAGCTCCGTGCTGTTGTCACCAAAATAAGCCTCTTCATAACGCTCGGTCCGCATTTCTCCGTCGGGGAAGTTGACGTATGCAGCCTTCTCCTTAATGGAGAAGGGCCTCAGCCTCGTCTTGACCGATGCCAAGAAGTCCTTCATGTCCTTCTCCATCTCCTGGTCCTCCCACACAATGGTGACGTACGTGTGGTACACAGCTTCGCGCCAGAAGAAGGCAGTGTCGGAGGGGTTCTTCTCCGCCGCCTTGCCGCCAGCATGCATCCAAGTGACGGAGAGCTCCACCGCCTTGCCAGAGAAGCGGCTGCGGAAAGCCTTCATCTCGTCACGGACGATGGCGGTGATCTGCTCGATGTTCTTGCTGTCGTTGCTGAGAGCGAATGAGGTGCAGATGCTGTAAGTCTTGTTCTCAGGGAGGGACCGTTCGATGTCCTCAGTCCACTGAGCGTCGAGCGTCTTGCGAAGGAACTGAGTAGACCTCTCGGCCAGCGACCGTTCCTTGAGCTGTCCAGCCAGCTCAGGCTGCTCGACGTGCTTGTCGACCAGCCCATCGAACTCGTCCTTGCTGCCATCAAAAGACGTAAGGAATCGGACCGCATCGCCCGAAGCCTGCCTCAGATCGCACACCCAGGCGCTGTCAATAGTCATGCCATCCGCCCAGTTCGTCGCGTAGAACTTGTTCATAGTCGCCACGACCTCATCCGTGAGCCCCTCGCTGGGCATCCACTCATACCTCCCACCAACCACCTCCTCGCCCCGCAGCTGCTGCACTCGCAGCTTCATCTGCACCAACACGCCGAAGTTGCCACCCCCGGCGCCCCGCAGCGCCCAGAACAACTTCCCCTCATCCGACGCCCGGTCGTCCCGCTCGCTGACCGTCACCACCCTCCCATCCGCCGTCACGACCGTCGCCTCGAGCAGCGCATCGCTGCCCAGCCCGAACCTCCGCGTGAACGGGCCAAGCCCACCGCCGAGCACGAAGCCGCTAACGCCAACAGACGGGGCACGAGCGCCCGTCACGACGCAGCCGTCGGGCAGCGCCGCATAAACGTCACTCCAGCGGCAGCCAGCGTCGACGGTGACGACGGTCGGCGCGGCGGCGTCGTCGAGCGCGACGGCGTTCAGCCCGGCCAGGTCGAGCAGGATGCCGCGGGCGGCGGTGGAGAAGGCGGCCCAGGAGTGGAAGCCGCAGCGGATGGTGACGGGGAGGTTGAGCTGTTTGGCGTGTTGGATGACGGTGCGGACGTGCGCGGTGGACTGCGGCTGGACGACGCAGTCGGGGTGGGAGGAAGGGCGATGGAGGAGGTTGGCGGGTGTGGTGGTGTGGGCGTAGGCGGGGTCGGTGGGGAGGAGGACGGGGATGTTGGCGGATTTGAAGGAGGAGATGGCGGTGGCGAGGTTGTGGAGGGTGGTGTCGGGGGATGCGAGCATCAGGTTATTGAAGAGGATGGTTGGCGCGAGGGCGGAGGGCTCGGACTCCTTTTGGCCGAGGTGGAAGACGGGGATTTCGGGGGGCCCGAAGAAGGTGATGGTGTTGGCCATTGTGATGAGCTTGATATGAGATGATTTGAATGTTGGTGTAGAGGAGAGAGATGAGGTGATGTGAGCCTCTGAAGTTGATGATATTGAGTTTAAACAAACAGCCATTTAATGCTCAATTTATGTCTTTTGGAGTGGCGGGGACGCGTGGAAGGGAGCAAGTGCTAGCCTCGGTGTGTGGTACGTTGCGCTGCAGATCGGGGGAATCACTATCAGCTGAAGCATCTTAACCAGCAGATTTGTTGTTGCATGAGCGATTAAGTTGCAGATGCTGTACCACGTCAATACACTTTCAGAATACAAAGCGCCAATCCCCCGCAGGGACTACGCGCCGTCGACGTACGTGGGGCATCCACTGGAACTTGAAACATTAGCCGCTGCCGAAAGAGAGCTGAGAGGACAAGCCCAGCTTTGCCGCTTCGGGTGTGTATGGTTTTGATTCGGTGGATTGTTCCCCCTATGGGTCCGTGAGCAGTATGCTATCTATACGCCACATTCTCGTGATGTACAGGCTAATCCCATTTAGATGTCATTCAGCTGTAGTATTTCTCCTAGATGCTGTCATCTTCAGACACGTGGCATACGGCGGGCTCCGCTCCGCCACGATTGCGCTTTCGCCCCTGATGGTTGTGCGGCTGATAAGCGTATCACGCTTTGTGGGGTAGTCCTTTTAGCGGGCCCACAGTGACGACCCTGAGGCGGCTGTGTGATGACGAAGACAGCCAACTCTATGAATGCCTCCGGCACAACCTTCACACGGTCGGCGGCGGAATAAAGGCCATACCCGGTCATTGTATGGAAGGAAATTTTTAAGTTTTACCACACACCGCTTGAGCAAAAACTGACCCTCGCATGTTGTGTGGGGCTCGTACGCGCGATCAGATTTGGGCTGCGATCTGCGGGTAGATCCGCAGTGGGCGCAGATCGCAGATACGAGAACACACTGTAGATCAGCTTGAAGTTCAGCTGACTCCAGTCTTGGTATTTATCGGATGCTGGCTAAGCCGAGTAATTAGTGGGTATCCGCTTACCCGATTGGTGGGAGCCCCAAGCCCATGAGACATGCACGACTCGAATACCACGCCGGGGTAGGCTCCAATGGCGCAATACATGGGGCAAAATATAGCTTCAGCTTGTCGATCATACTTCGTCTCTTTCCTCAATTGCCAAATTATGTTCTGGAGGCCACGTTTATCGGCCAATTGAAGCAGATCTTGAATCATAAAGCCATCTTGATCTTACATTAGTGTGGGGCATTGCTTTAGCGTCGATAAGATACGCACACTAATGCTCACCGGTCCGTGTAAATGATGACCGTAGTACAGTGACTGGCCTATCCAGTAGCTGACTGTAGGCAGATCAACGAGAAAATAATTTAGTTGAAGGAAAAGGAAATAGCAAGGAAGCATTAATCTACGTGGTACCACTGGGTTAATGCGTAGGCTGTAGGGCCAAAGCCTTTTCAAGTGCCAGTGCGAACGAAATTATCTGGTAATGTAAATATCGAAAGTTGAACCCCTATAAAAATCGAGCGATACTGTGTGCTCTGTGCCTTCAACTTCTCAGGAGAGGATGACGTACCATGGCCCTGATCTGTGATACGTTGCGTTACAGATTAGCGAGTATCATCAAAACCTGCCAGAACTTCTTATCCGAACGACTGATTGTTACACCAGCGTCTATATGCGGAGAACCTCAGTGTTACGTGTGCCCCTCACCCTACGCAGCTTGCAGACGCCGAGGTACCGAACAGGTCATTCTTCGACTGCAGTAGGCGATAACTCCCCATGGAGTACGGGCTGCCAAGGTCGGTTGGGAAACCATTGTAAACTTGCGTGTCACCTTTGAAATGGGTCTTTGCAAGTGTACATATGCAGCCTTTGTGCACCAAGATGAGAGCTCTCCTTTCACGCAAATCCGTTAAACTACATCTCCACCGATATCAAGATGTGCTCCACCCCTCTGCATAGCCAGAAAACAAACTGTGAGTAAACAGTTTCAGTAATTTTCACTGTTGAGCATGATGTACGTAAAATAAATCCACACGTGATGAATAGGTATCCCGGTGAAATACATAAAATGCCTTGAAGATCGATCAATGCTGAGGAAAGATTAAAAAGGCATGGCTCTCTTGCTCAATCGCCGTGTGAAAACTATGAATCACATAACTCCTCGCCCATTTCACGCTCCAATCGTGACTGGCTAGACCCCCATCTCCGTAACGACATTGTTGCTAGGGACAAAAGAGAATCCTTGACCTCGAAGGGTAATCGTATCAGACTCGTAGGTGTAGGACTTGTGACTAACACCTTGGCAGTTACAGGGAGACTGCCCTCGTTCGTCATGTCTAGAATCTTGGTAAGTACCTCTGACATGCCGTCCATGAAGTGGTCGCGCTCGTAATACACGGCACCATCTATCAGACAGAAAACAGTTACATTGCTCGGCAGCTGGCGAAGAAGCCATTTGAACAAAGAGCACAAGGCGGCGATGTTGCCACACTGCTTCAGATCCTCATATAGCTTATTTGGGAAGCACCGGATGTCAAAGGTCTGCTGCGATAATAGTTGCACCACGAGGCTGGAGATCATCAATAATCCTCCAGCACAAGGGTCATCCTCAAGGTGGCTGCCGCAGAAGAATATTAATGGAAGGAAGCTTCGGTCTGCCCGCAGAGCTGCCGTGAGCGTTGTGCAGAACAGAGATAGTGCGGATACTCTTTGGTTGCCCTCGCGGAAGTCGCCGTGGATAAGGAGCATCTCAGACATCGGGGAGATAATCCAGTCCTTGAACCGCTGGTTCTGAACAATAGCTTCGGCCCGCACTTGCTGTTCTGAATCCAAACGACTTTTCTTCTGCAAAATGTGTTGCATGTCGCTTTCCTCGAAGTTTGGTATACCAATGAAGTCCAAGAGATCGTCATTTTTGGTGAAATATATGGTGGCTGGTGTAGGAGATGCCGTCCGAGACCGGATGCGATAGATCTCCGCTCGCAGGTGGCGATTCTCTAGGGATGACGGAAGTTAGATCAATAGACCATAGAAAGGTTGCGCTATTGAAGCTGACCTTCTTGGCTACGATTGTATTCAGTGAGCAATGAAGTCATCGCGTTGAACATTTGACGCTGTCCCTCCTGAGCTTTGACAAACGCCTCATGCATCCTCCTCAATGCTCCGAGTTCTGTGTTGGTTGAAAGACTTTGGTCAGATCTCCTTTTCAATGAATATTGCGTCTTGTAGACCAAACTTACCGTGCAAGATTTTCCTCATTGAATGCTGTGTATGGTGCATGTGCGAACCAAGGGCATCCTGAACCAGCTGCTGGCTGCAGGCTTTCATCTCGCTGAGACTATCGCGCAAACATTTCTGATACTGATTCCCGTTGGAGATCGCATTGAACATTCGTCTGCCTAATGGGGTTCTATTGATCAGCCCGTGGGCACCTTTCTGGCACTTCCCTATAGAAGGGGTCCAAAGGATTTCTTAGAACGAATGCTCACCAGAGCTTGACGTGAAAAACTTGATTGCAAGCTCAACTGCCTTGAATGTGGCAACAACGAGATCCACTGCCGTGTCTTTGACTTTGTAGTCGTCAGGGAAAGTCTGCAGGAACAGCTCGATTTCGGAAAATATTTGATCAAGGTCATCGAACCCGTGAACAGCCTGACTTCGTCCGTCGGCAGCAGCTTGCACAGCCTGCTATACGATCAGCTACACGCCCTCTAGTATAGGTTGTTCACTGCACGTGTGAGAAAGGAAAGCTTACCCCGAGAAGAACTTTCACGACACCGAGCACAGGCGCAGTATAATCGATGTCAGGGACGAGCTGCATGGCTTGGATGACTGGCTGAATATTGTCGGCGGCGCTTCGACGCGTTCTCAATAACCTACCTTTCATGCCGCTTTTCTCCAGGTAGAGACACCGGGCCGCGTCGAGTTGAGCAGAAACTTCACCCCAGTTGCCCTTGCATCTGATATCATAGTCTTTATCGGTGATTCTCTGGGGAAACGTCTTTTTGAATCGAGCCATAGCATCGCCAAAAATTCTGTTCCAAAAGGCCATGCAGCTCACATCGTCTGGAGGCTTTGGTCGAGGATCCACATGCTTTTCTGCGCTGTTCGATGTTGGATTCGCCGGTGCAGATACCGTGATATTTGGTGGGCCAGATCTCAACACCCAACTGCCTGGAACCGAATCGTACTGCATGTTATGGTTTCGGAAAGCAGGAAGATGTTTCGGTAGGCGATTTTCAATGAAGTCCACAGCGGGCGGCTGGGTTGAAATTCTCGAGGTGACAGATTTCCAGTATGTCATCCAGATCGGTAGGGTGCAAAATAGTGGTATGCGACAAGGGATAATCACGCAGGAGAGCGTGGGAGGCGATGATGCTACAGCGTTGAGATCCGGTCAATATATCACCGAGTGGAGCGGCTTAGACTACAAGTATTCAGGTACGTACTTAGTTCTCGACGATCTATCAAGGGACTCAGTTTGGGGGGCATTCACAGCCGCAAACCCAAATCGAAACAAGCAATCAGTTATTTCGCTTTGTTTTTGGGTTTTCATTGAGCTAACAAGGATAGGAAGCATAAAGGAGTTATCGTCCCATGAATGCTTCGTCGCGCAAAATTGGAAAGTGGAAATGGTGAGTGGATGTGGGTAGACGGAGAAACAGCTACCAGCACGGCAGATCCTCTAGTTGTGCCCCTCCCAATGTCCGATCCCTGCATCTCCTCGGGTTGCGTTCCTAGAACACGTCAATTCTAGACCGAAATAGATGGGAACCCCACAGTAGGTACATGTTGCATGTTAAATGCATTTATTAGCCTGGATAAGACTTGTACGTGGCGTAGTTTGATAGCTCGGGTCTGTTCGAAAAGGATTTCTTTGCAGAAATATGCTCATATTCCTTACATCCCAGAATGACAGGACTGCTAAAAGAGGGAATGAAGAGTATATTTCTGCAGAAAGGGAATTACTGGGAGCATAGGTGCCAAGACAATGATCTGCGGTCCCATGACGCTCAGAGTTCGTCTTCGCTGGGGTTCGGTTCAGCTCGCCTCCAGCTGAGCCCACTTAGGGCTCGAATGGCACTTTTTTGGTAAGTCATACTTACCATGCTGCACGGACTCCTGATTTTATCTCTTTTCTGATTCCAGCCTGCTTCACAGCTGCCGTTCATGGACAGCATTCAACCTGCAGGCTGCCCGTCGGTTTGCAGGAAAAGAGTGGAGACAACAGATATACAGCCTTGCAAGCTGGAATGCATGTACCTTATCATCTTCCGCGATCGCTGTCATTCATGGGATTTACGAAGCATGCCGACCGCGCTAGTCTTCTAGCTAGGTTAAGGAGATTAACGTTTTGTGATAAATCACTCTCTCTATCATCATCTCGTAATTGAAGCTAATGCAGTATTTCTATGCTATACGATACAAATACCAAGCCAGATTCATGATTCGGAAGGGTGGCTGGTTTTACGCTGCATGAGACCTGCATTGCAGGTGGCGCCCAACTTACATACTCACACGGACCTATCCCATCGGAAACGCCGAAAAGCCCAGTTTTTTGGCACAAGGCATAGCCGAAGTCGAATGTTGCTAGCAAATGAGGCAAGACACCCAGCTGCGATCCGCTAGAGTGCCTGTCTACATAGTTGCTTACATCCGTTTTCCCCGGATAAATACTGCCATCCTCTCTCTCCCAGTACCCATCATCAGCAAGCTTGATTATCTACTCTTATCTTTGCCATCATGGAAACCGTATCTGCGACCGCTGATGCAAGCGCTACTGAGAGCACCGATGCTCATGACCCCAACCCAACCCTCGCTTCGACACCAGTGAAGTCGGAAAGGAACACGAATGAATCAACAAGGGCATCATCTGATGAGGTATCATCCTCACTGATCGACCCGTACCACGACCCTTCAGACAGTCAATCTCAAGATGCAGCCCATGCCCTCGACGGAGGACATATTGGCATACCTCACTTGCTCGAGGAACGAGACAGTCCCCAGCATCCGAGCAGTGTTTCTCGTGATGATACAATCGGAAAGTCCGATGAAGTAGGGATCAGCTCTTCCAAGTTGATCGAAGAGATCCGGATGTTGAGAGAAAAGGTGTCCAACATCGAAGAACAGGCCAAACCGAGGCCTAACTATTCAATGCTAGAGGCCGAATGGAGAACAGCGAGAGAGTTGTCCGGCACCTACGAAGAAGCGGTACTCTGGAAGTGGTTCTTGACACAAAGGAAAGAGCTCGCTGAAAACTCAGACTCTGTCTGGTCATATCGAGGCCGGACCTACACGCTGGACCTGAGTCGCCTTGCGCGAGAGATGCACGAGGACCCAGTGTATGAGAGCGATGTTTTGAGGTGGAGGAAGAGCTGGGAACAGAAACTTCGGCCACTAAGTCTTCTGCCTTCTGGGAATGAACGATTAAGAAGGATGAGAGAAGTGGACTGCAGCCGCTTGGATGATGCTGACGAGCAAGAATATGGTGAGGGGGGATTTGAAGACAGCGACTCTGATGGGTCATTGGATTTCGAGTACAACCTCACTATTCTCCGCCAGAGATACTTGCAAAAGGTCGACCGCCTACATGAGGAAAGAGACGTCATGTTGCAGCAGAAACTTGTAAAAAAGCGACAACGAGCGAAGGAGTTGGAAGCTATTCATAATGAGAAAAGGAGGGCAAAGCAGTTGGAGGCCCTTCAAAACGAGAAAAGGAGGACAAATGAGTTGGAGATCCTTCACAACGAGAAAAGGAGGGCAATGGAAGAGCTGCAGACTGCAAGGAAAGGAGAAGAAGAACCGGAAGACCTAGTCCAAAAAGAATCAGCAGTCCCAGCCGAGGACGTATCAGGAGCTCTCTCTACTTCTGCCCAAGATACAATGGAAGAGGCCACAAACGAACCACTGGCGCCATCCCATGCATTTCCAAAGCTCCACCGCGTCGATTGGATTGGATTCAAAGCTCTTCGAGATGTCAGCGAAGAAGACTCGTTCGCCATCGACGTCTTAGTTGGCGAACCTGTGATCAGTCTGGGCTTTCCCCGTCGTCCAAAGCGATCTACAAAGGCCAAGTGGACCGTTGACAAAGATCAAATCTCTCCGGACGTAGCTACTACTACAAAGCAGCCCGCGGCCTTGACTGGACAGTCCCCTCTTCCGGAACGCATTCGCATACATTCAAAGCAGCTCATCCGCATCCTTGAGAAGATACACGGAGAGAGTATCGACTTCACTAGACCATTAGTCATCATCCGCCCTTTCAGGGTCCTTATGTACTATAACCAAGCACTACGCAATTGGTATCAGAAACTAGAGAAGAAATTCACTGTCTCAGACACCTCAAAGAGTAACTCCACTGGTATGTACGAACCCGCTTTTATTTCACTGTCAAAGCTGATAGATCAGGGGAAGCTGCTACAATTAAACTCGCAAAAAATGAAGAACCCACGAAAGAGGAAGCTTCAACTGACGAGCGAGCGGTAGAAGATGCCGAGAGGCCTGAAGATGACGACCCAGATGACGACTCAACTTCACAAACGGCGTTTGATCATCTACGCTGTCTGCTGGAATTCATGGATACCGACATTGCCAACAAATTGACATACTTGAGGGACACAGGGAGCCTGAAGATCTTCTTCTCTGATATTTGGCACCTTTTCAAGCCAGGTGATGAGGTCATTGCAAATGACGGAAAACAAGTTTACAGAGTCATTAGCATCACCAGCGCGGCGCATAGAGTTGCTTCATATGGCTTGGCCTACTGGACTCAGTCACCCGACGATGAAGACATACCTATTGCGGTCGACTGCGTGTACGTCGATTTTGATGGAAAGAGACTCGGTCCGATTGGCAAGCAGTTCATCATAAAGAGGTTCGACAATGAGAGAACTGTTACTTCCCTCGAGGTCTACCCACTCCGGTTTCATATCTCCAGGAGAGGGCAGTTGACAGATGATGGGAATGGTGACGAAAGCTTTCGACAACAGCTCATCGCCCGGGGTCGAAAATTCGCAGAGATAGCCGCGGCTACACACAAGCACATGTACTATGCCGGACAAGCTCTTGAGACGAGAGAAGATATCGAAAGCCAAGTTGTCGTGGATTTCGAGTTAGCACTATCTGCGGAAGAAAACAAGGACAAGGAATGGACGCCAGTCATTGAAGAAAGGATCAACTTTGAGTCTAAAAAGAAAAAAGAGAAGGAACCTTGCCGAGCAGAATGCTGCCGACACGAGAATATTCACGATGATTCCTTCGTGGAAACGAAACGCAACGAGGAGTACGTGGCGAGCCTCTTTCCAGATTCTCGCGAGAGGCTCCCTTCCGTGGCCATTTTCCCCCGGTCAGCGCAGGACACCAAGTCGCCCGAAAATAGATTATTTGAAGAGGACTTGATTATCATGTCCTACCGAGTTTTCGCATTTGTCCTTCGCACCCGTAAATGGGGTAAGTTCAAGTCTCACAACTGAGGAAGGAGAGTTACTGACAAATATCGACAGAGAAACTGGATCTTACCCATCTGAGCGATGTCAAAAGATCAGATAGGAGTGGAGAAGGCACTGCTCATGAAAAGGAGGACAAAACCGCCTTCGATCGCCTTGTCCTCCCCAAAAACCACAAGGAAATGGTAGAGTCTCTGATTTCACAGCATTTCCGTGACAAGGAGTCCTCGCAAAGCAACACAGACCAATTTGATATCGTACGTGGAAAGGGTAAGACGCCGTGCGCTCCGTCGATAAATTATAGAGCTAGAATTGATACTTTTCATAGGAAAGGGCCTGATCCTGCTCCTCCACGGCGCCCCAGGTGTGGGGAAGACTAGTACAGCAGGTAATCATGCCATTGCATCCATCGAAAACTCATACTGACAATTCATTTCTGCCAGAGGGAGTGGCGGAGCTATTCAAAAAACCATTGTTTCAGATAACCTGCGGTATTTCCACGTTCCTTGTGCAATATTACATCCCGTTCAGACAGGTATTGACCGGTGCTTCGAACTTTCAGGCGACCTCGGCACAACCGCAGCAGAAGTAGAAAAGGCATTAGAGACAAATTTCGCCCTTGCTAATAGATGGGGGTCTATTCTGCTTCTTGACGAGGCTGATGTATTTCTCTCCGCGAGAAACCCAAAAGATTTCGTGAGGAATGGCTTGGTAGCAGGTCTGACAGAGCTTGTGCTCTCTTGTCTGATGGGATAATGGGACTGATTGCTTTTATAGTATTCCTCCGAGTCTTGGAGTACTACGCCGGGATCCTGTTCCTCACCACCAACCGCATCGGCGACTTCGACGAAGCGTTCGCGTCACGCATCCATATCAGCCTCTATTATCCACCACTGGACCAGGAGTGTACGAAAAAAGTTTTTCAACTGAACTTAGAGATGATCGAAGAGCGTATGAAGAACAAAAACCGGGAAATTGAGATCAAGAAGGAAAAGATCATCGCCTATGCTGGGGACTATTGGGTTGGCCACGAAAACGCGCGGTGGAACGGACGCCAGATCAGGAACGCTTGCCAAACAGCTTTGGCACTGGCAGAATTTGAAGCCCACGGCGGAAGTGCAATGAACCCGAACTCCCTCGTCAAGCTCAAGCCCAAGCACATTATAAAGGTCGCCGAGTCATACCTTGAGTTTACGAAGTACCTTATCGACTTGTACGGCACTGATGACAACCGGCGAGCCATGGAAAGCGGACTTCGGAGACACGATCACATCTTCCATGGTCAATACAGTCGCCCGCAACATTTCCAAGATTTGGCTCTGAAGTTTGCAACCACTCGGAGGCAACATGCGCCTGCGGAGAGTAGTCGTAGGCCTGGCGGCTATCGGATGAGTTCTCACCATTCAGACTCTCCTGAAAACAGACCTAAAGCTCCAAAGCCGAGGCGCTCCTCACCTGCTGGTGCGCCGGCACCTTATGACAGCTCCTCCGATGAAGAACTGCAGGGCGATCATCCACAGCATCGAGTCTTGTATAGCCGAGATACAACCACAATGCGGGACCCGCTCGATCATAGCGATGGGTATAAATGGAACCAGTAGCGGGGCTATGAAGCTAGTCATTCAGCAAGTCGTCCGGGCTCAGGATACTAACTCTCAGAAGACGAAGGTCCTCCCGGTATGGCTCATGAATTTTTCGACGAAAAAGGAGCGCCGCCCAAAAAAAAAAAAAAAAGCGAGGTAGCAAGCTTTTCCGCAATGAGGAATAATTTGTCATGTGTATTGTTGGAAGGCCGACGTCAAGCCCCAGAACATGCTCGAAACACCAAAATTGTAGTGCAAGATCAATTCTACTTTTTCATTAAGATTGCGTTGGAGGTAGCACACATTCGTTCTTTCCGTTTCGGGTCTTGTATTTACCTTCACTTGGTTTGGCTCATTAAGGCTACTTGCCTTTTCCTGGCTGCCATCACAAGATTCAACATCTGCAGATGGTAGAAGGGAAAAGCCCTAGTAGGTCAAATCGATAATATCAGGTTTGCCGCATGCGAACCATATTCTTTACCCTGTCATATAGGTTTCGATTGACAGTCCCCAATATTCATTTAGCATCCGCTGTCCAGAATCCATCCTGAATCATATACGTCCACATCAAAACGCCTCCCCAGCCCCACCCCTCCTCCCATCCTTCCACCCACCCCTACCCCTCCCACCCCTGCCACCTCTACCACCACCACCCGCGGCCACATCCCCCTTCATCCCCTCGACGCCACCATCCCCTACAACAACCCCATCCCTCACCAACACCCTCCCCGCCTTCCGATCCTCAACCCTCTCAAAAAACTCCAACCCCAACACACCCCCCTTCTCACCATCCCCCTCCGTCAAAATCACCCCATTCGCGCTCCGCCAAAACGGCACACCCGCCGCCAACGCCTTCTTCAAATCGACGTAAATCAGCACGCGCGAGGTGTTCCGCATGCCCGAAATGACGGGCGGCTGGACCTGTTTCTCCGCACTCTCCGCCGCCTGCTCCGCCTCCCCCTCTGCCTTCTCCTCGATCCGCGCAAACCCAGCCGGCAGGCCAGGCGCCAAATGCACGTGATTCCGCTTCATCGGCTTGAGGCCGCCGGAAGCGAGGATGACGGGCCACGCGGCGGCGGTGGTGCCGTGGACGCACAGGGATGGGAAATTCTCATCGTCTGCGGTGAGCGGCGTGAGCAGGCCTTCGCTGGCGACGGAGTTGATGCTGTGGCCTTGGTTGGCGCGGATGAGGTAGGCGGAGGGGTCGTCGGGGTCGGCGGTTGGGTCCGACGTGGAGGAGGAGGAGGGTGCGGGGTCGGTGTCCGAGGATGGTGCTTCGCTGATGGGGATGAGGGAGAAGCGCTGCTTGTCGTTGGTGGTGACGATGGTGCGGATTTCCGGGAAGGTGACTTTGAGGGATTTCATGGTTTTGGTTTGGAGCTGTGGTGGGGTGGTGTTAGTGTGGATGTAGAGCGGTTATTGTTGTGTCGGGTGAGAGTTTTGATTATTTAATTGTGTGGAAGGAGTATGGTGGATTGGAGGGGAGTCAACCGGGATGCAATAAGAAACGGGAACCCGAATTAAAATCACAAAATCCTGAACCCAAGGAGCCTATAAAATGACAGGAAAACAAGATGGAAAAGGAAAAGAAGAATCAACATACCAGCTCCTGCACCGAGATATATCCTCCCGGCCCCAGCTTCAGCCCCTCGTCCTCAGCCGAATGCCGCAATATCCTGCTCATCTTCTTCGACACCTGCACGTCTCTCGGCAGCGGGCCGCCTCTGCCTCTTCCTCTACCACCGCGAGAAGACATACTGCTACTGCTGCGAGTGCCTGGAAAGACCGTTTCCCCTGCTGCACGCAAAGGAGTGAGTAATCGCCGAATGATTGCGGCTGAGGTGGGTTATCACGTGATTATCCCGGGATTTGAGGTGGGGTGCTGAGTGTGCGCTTGAGGCAGGGTGCCAAGATGTATGACTATGTCTGCTTGTGTTGTAGGTGAGGTGGAGGATGCGTCGTTAAGTGCGTTGATGAGGGGCAGACAGAGGTGACGTTTAGGTCGTTCCACAGGAATTTTTTAAAGTTGGCTCTGGGGAAGTCTCACGCATGACTCATGCAAGGGTCCGCCGGCAACCAGTTTTTCTGGCTCGGTGAGCGGAATCGATCACCGCACGCTACGAGATTATGACTGGTTGAACATGTAGTGAGAAATTAGAGACTTAGTTGCCTAGAAAATCGTAGATCGAATGCCTTTTCGGCTAAATGTGAAGATTGCTCACTATGAGCTAGAATGGTTCGTAATGATTGGTCTATTCCATACTCTCATCGCTCATTTCAACACGACAACACACGACATCGTGGTATCTAGTAAACACCATCTCCTAACCCACCTTCAAACATCGCTCACCTATGAAAACTCACCCACCACCTCGAAACCCGCTTCCTCCACTTCACCTCATCCTACCCCCGTTCTCACCTCAACAACCCACACATACACTGACAATCCGGCACCGGGCACGTCTTATGCTTCGCAAACCAATCCCTTGCATGATGCCCATGAAACCCATGCGTACACGTCATGCAAAACACCATCTGCCTTGCCTCATGGTCCTCATCCTTCAAGCTCTCAGCGCCGCCCACCGTCGCCGGGTCCGGGCTGCCCAGCCACATCATGCAGATACCGCAACGCGGCATGCGGCGCCCGCACCGCGGACACACCAGGCCCGAGTTGTGGCTTGGCGAATTCCCGCTGTAGTTGAGCGGTTTGCTCGCGGGCTTGGCAGGCTTGCCGGTGATAGCTGCGGCCGCCGCGGCAGCCGCGACGGTGGTGTTAGCTGTAGGCGGTATCGCAGCTTGGGTGCCGGCGGCGGCGGCAGTGCCGTTGTTCTGCTCGCCGGACGACGAGGGGAGGGGCACGAGCTGGTCGCCGCGGCGGGCGAGGGCGAGCTGACAGTGCATGCAGCGGATGGTGATCTGGCGGGGGAAAGGTTTGTTGAGGCAGGCGCCGTCGCGGGTGGTGGCGACCTTGTTGTGGGCGACGATGAAGCGGGTGCGCTCGATGAAGCAGCGCCACGTCTGCAGCTGCAGGAAGTAGGTTTCCGTCCAGTAGTCCCAGCGCGCGTCGCTGACGTACAGGGGGTTCGTGCGCGCCATGACGAGCACCGCCGTCTGCACGTCGCCGAACTTGGCGATGTACTGCTCGAGCAGGTCCATGGCGCGCTCGCCCAGCCCCGTGAAGACGAGCCCTTCGATGTCGCCGTAGACGCGCGCGCCGTGCGAGACGAGCTTGATGAATTGCGTCAGCTGGTCGTCGTCGAGGTATTTGAGGGCGACTCCGACGCGGTCGACGAGCGAGAGCTCTTCGACTTTGGTGACGGCTTCCCAGTTGCCTGTGATGAAATATTGGAGGAGCGCTTTGAGGTACGGATCTTCCGTTTCTTCGGCCATCCATTCACAGAGCTCGCGCTGGTCCTTGTTCACCGTGTCACAGGCGATGACGGCACCTAGCCCGATGTTCTGGAGCAATCGCTGACGGACGAGCTGCTTGAGGAAGTCAAGCGCTATGTCCTTGTGGCCTTTGAACACCGCAAGAACGATGGCTTTGTAGTACTGGCCTTGCTCGATGAGAGCCTTGCAGTTTTCTCGGATCCTCTGGGCAGAGAAAGTCCATCCGCAGATGGCCAAGCAGAGCTGCCGGTGTTCAGGGCGCTGGGTCTTGACGCCTTGAAAGGGTGGATACTCCTTCTCTTGTACGATCTCACGGATCACATTGCGGAAGTCCGGCGGCGACACCGATGGTCTTCCAATGAGCCGATACCCGTTTTGCTTCCCTCCAAGGCTGTTCTCCCAAATGTACGCAACGCCCAGGTAGCTCAGATCAACTCCATCAGCGATCATGCCGCCGTCCTTGGCCAGATCATCGAGCCGCTGCACGAGTTCCCAAAGACCTACGAGCCATGGGTCATTAGAGAGAATCTGCTTGTTCTTCTTACAGTCCAGGCAGTAGCCCTCTTTTGCCCGCCTCTTTGCAACACCGAGAGCTTTCAAAGTATCACCAATGCCCATATGCACATCGGGGAACCCTAGAGTCAGCAACTGCTCGTGACGCTCGCGGCTTATCGTTGCTTTTGCGCGGTCAGGGGCTTTGTGGCCGAAGTTCTCCATGCTCAGCTTCTCGATCCGAGGAAAGGCACCGATCGTGTTGGACTTGAATGCACCTTGTGAAGGCCTCCTCTCATCGATGACGCGAACTTGTAACCTCTCGAGATCTTCAGAGATGGGTCCATCGGGCGGCGTGGGTTCCGCAACGGCCATCTGGTCACAGTATATTTCGTCCAAGGCGGTGAAGCGGACGGTTGGAGCTTGTGTGGGGATCTTGGTGACCTTAATCTCGCGGTTGTACTGTAGGTTGATGGTGCTGTGCGCCCCGACGGGAGATCCTTCGGCCATGAAATCGAACGCCATGGACCGAGTCGACTCGTCCTGGCCATACACTGGATCGTACCATGGGTAATGGAGAGTGTGGCTGTACTTGGTGAAGTGCTGGTATCGAGAGGAATTGCCCGATGAGCCGGGCACCTGATCCTTGCACTCGAACTGGGCTATCTCGACGACCTTGAGCTCGCCGGTATTTGAGATAGCACCGAAACACCCGCGTTTAGTACCACTAAAGCGAAGACCCCAGATGGCGGCACCGTGGGTGTTGTCTACAGCGGGCCTCAGCTCGAGCACGGCACCAGCAGGAGCTTCGGATGAGGGAGTGGTGGGACCCGGCCGAGAAGCAAAGCGGCGATCCCACACGCTGACCGTCGGGTCCCCGGTAGGACCTGCGGAAATGATGTAGTTCTCGTCCAAGGGATCAATGGCCAGATTGTGCACCTGGCGGGTCCCGTATTGGGCAGCGCTGACAGGGGCGGAGTCTGCGGTTGTGGCGTCAATCTAAGGCACAGGCCAAGGCGGGGCAATAGTCACGTACCACGGAGGTCATAGATGCGAATGCACTGGCGCGACACACCGGCAACAAGGGTCTGTGGATGGCCGGGGAAGAACTTGATACTCGTGATGGCTTCTGAGCTAGCAAGCTTCTTGTAGGGTTCCTGCTGGGCGGTGTAGGAGCCGAGATTTAGGTCATATATGTTCATGCAAAAGTCATTGCGGACTCTATCAAGGCCGGTGGCCAGCAGGTTGCCGGTACTGAAGGCGATGGAGTTGCATTTGCGCTGATGCTTGATGGGGAAAGACTGGGTAAAGTCGGAGTTGGGACGGCCGGCATCGATCTCCAGCAGACTTGCTTCTCCAGAGGCGGAGCCTATGGCCACATAGTGCTCATGGGTTTTGGACCAATCGAAGGCGGTGAAGTTGGGCAGTTTGTCGCGGGCAGCCAGCTGCTTCCAGCGGACCGTGTTCTTGTCCACATTGTCAACCTCACACAGACGAAGGCGGTTCCCCGCGACGTCTACGATAATGAAATGCGGCGACTGCTGGTGAGCATGAGGCGACCAGCGGATAGCGGCTTCCATCGTATCTCAGAGGCGAATGAAGTGAGGGCTGGGGCCAGAAATGGGAGGCTGGCCATGTCACGGGCGGAAGCGAGCTGCAGGCCGAGGCGGCATGGCTCCGACGTGGAGGGCTGGTGGTGCTGGAGGTGAGGTCAGAGCTTTGGGCGTCGACGCTGAGGAACGGGCCGAGGAAGTGCCGCAGGCCCTGCGTCAATCCAAAGAATTTCCGTCGCGACTCCAACACTACCGACAGTCATGCCCGGCCTGAAGCGCTCCCGCGCCCAAGTCGACGCTGCCGACGATTCCGCTCGCTCTTTCGCCGACCGCTCCAACAAAATGAACCAAGCCAAACGCAAGGCCGACGGCAACGCGCCGCACGCGAAAAAGCAGAAGACGGCCGGCGCCAAACACCCGCCGACCAAGAAATACCAGCCCAAGAAATTCTCGCTCAACCCGCTCAAGGCCCGCATCCGCGACCTGCGGCGCCAGCTGTCGCGCAATGGCGATGACATGCCCGCCAACGTGCGCGTCGACAAGGAGCGCGAGCTGCAGGCGTGCGAGCACGAGTTGTCCGTCGCCGAGGCGGAGCGCATCAAGCAAGACATGATCCCGCGCTACCACAAGGTCCGCTTCTTCGGTACGTCTCTCCATCATCTTGCTATTTCGCCATGTCATATGCTAACAAACCTGGAAGAACGTCAAAAAGCTACGCGCTTCCTCAAGAAGGCCGTCAAGCGTCTGAATGAGAACTCGGACCCCGAGAAGCACGCCGAACTCGAGCGCGAGAAGCACATCTGCGAAGTCGACCTCAACTACACCCTTTACTACCCGCTTATCCGCGCCTACGTCTCGCTCTACGCTACCTCCAAGAATAAGGATGACACAGATGGCGCCTCGGCGACAACCCGCATCGGAGGCGACAAGGAAATGTGGGAGCTGGTGGAGAAGAAGATGCAGGACAACGCGCTGGAGGCCCTGCGAAATGGGCTGGAATGGAGGGAAGGAGCACCCGAGACGGCATCTTCGGCAACGCCTGCTGCTGCTCCGGCGCAGAAGAAGTCTACGAAGGCTCCCACTGCGAAGCCCGCTACCAAAGCTGCTAAGGAAGAAGAATCTGGCGATGAGAGTGATGGTGGCTTCTTCGAATGAGGGGTCTCGAGTACACTGGGTTTGCGGCATAGCGTGGCGTTATGGTATGGGCTTGTCTGGCCTGGCGTTTGAAAGGACAAAAGCATTGGCTATGCAGAAAAAACAATGGTTTCGCTTGCTGTAGGATTGGGAGATGGGTGGTATGGCCGTGAATATACATAGGAATATTGTTTAGAAGGTAGATATGATGGTATATATCACAGGAAGAAGGTACGTGCCTGTCGAAGAAAATCTGGACTATGACTTGGCAGGTGCATACTAGCAACATGGCTCCTCATAACCATTGCACATCTTCTGTGTAGGAGCAAAATGGACTTGCACATTGATTCGAGTGTCGTCGAGCAAAAGAGCAAAAAGCAACCGTAGGATCGTCACGCCTTTCCACAGCCCGCAAGCCCTCACCCAACTCAGCGCAGGAACCGAAGTATGACACTAAGCTAGAATCGAACCCTTGAACTGCTTCAGACGTTCACCTAAACGGGCAACCCACAGATCACAGACGCCTCGGGTTTTCCACTTTTAAGGTCCTGGTGACAAGGTATAGTGCCGTAGCATGCCCCGTTGCGCTAACCATCTGTAACTGAAGCGCTCGCTTTCACGGTTTACATAACACAGGCTCGGATACTGCTTCCAATTGGGTGTATGCGTACGATTTGCTGCGTTTTGATGCTTTGAAATGTTCTCACGATTTCATTTTTCCGCCCGACGTGCTTGCGCAATGACAAGGACGATAATCATTGTAGTTTACTGCGTTATCGTCCTCGCAGTAATGTGGTATAAATTGCTCTTTACGAGTGAAGTTCGTCTGCGGTCAAATGCTCATGCGACAGCTTGCACAGAAAAGGTTAGCGTGCCCTAACGCGTTGTTTATCAACCTGTCATCCAATCCGTAGTCCCCGTTCAACCTTACCGACACCTTCAATTGGAATCCCCATTTGCTCAAAATGAGTTGCATGCGTGCTGTGCCGTCATCTTTAGGCGGATGGTCGAGTAAGTACTAGATGGCATAGTCATTCTGTTTGCAACGCATACCCCGCCCAAACGCTGAAGAGGATTTAAATTTCACTACTGATATTCAGACAGCGTCAAGAAGTCACCGGGCCATGGCATCGGCAGCATCAAGCCCTCGGCATCTCCGAATCGGACTTTTGGAAGCTTCAGTTCTTCGAAAGCCGCAACACAGCACCGTCTTCGACCGCCGGCGCTCAGTTCTAATTCCGACGCCGGATCGTCTCGGGGATAAGCTTGGCCGAGGCTTCTCGACTATAGGTGAGTGTGGCCAATTACGCGCGCCGCAGTCATCCCCACAGGCCGGCACTTATCCGATGATGTCAGCCGAACGCGACCCCGCCCCCGCGCCGAACGCGTCGACAGGGAGAGCTCCGCATACCTCGACGCCATCGCGCCGTGCGGAATCGGATTTAGCGCTCCTCAAAAGAAGCTCGACTCTTCCTCGTCCGGTCAGCATTGGCTCTTTTGCTGCACAGTATAGCACCAGATCCAGAGATACCCCTTCCGCAATGGCACCGCAGTGGACTCATCTCATCCGCTTCATCGCGAAGGAGGACGGCCAGATTCATCTTGGCCAGATCGACGCCGCGCAGTACCCTGATGTCGGCATTGCCGTGTTTGAGGGCAAGGAGGTCGCCGCGAAGGAGGTCACCGGCGGCTTGTTTGATGGCGTTGTGACGGAGCGCGTTCTGCACGTGGACAAGGTAGGCTCGCAGTCTTCCCCATCTGGAGAAAGAGCTTGGATATCAATTGAGCCTCCCCGGGCCCGGATAATCTGACACAAAGGACATCATGCTCACCACGTCACCAGCTCCTCTCGCCCGTCACCGTCGACCAGGTGCCGCTGATCCGCTGCCTGGGCCTGAACTACCGCGACCACGCCAAGGAGGCCAACATGCCGATTCCGAACGAGCCGATCCTGTTCATCAAGCCGCGCACGGCGCTCAACGGGCCCTTCCCGGCCAAGATCAACGTGCCCAAGGTGGCGCAGGACGGCACGTCCGACTACGAGGCCGAGCTGACCATCGTCATCGCCAAGGACGGCAAGGATATCCCGGAGGACAAGGCTCTCGACTACGTGCTCGGCTACACCTGCGGCAACGACGTCTCGGCCCGCGCCCAGCAGTTCAAGAACAGCCAGTGGTGCTTCTCCAAGGGCTTTGACGGCAGCGCCCCTGTCGGCCCTGTGCTTGTCAGCGGGAAGGCGATTGGCGATCCCCACCAGCTGGATATCAAGGCCATTCACAACAAGAACGTCGTGCAGGACTCGAACACGAAGTACGTAGAAGATCTGGGGAAACTATTGCTTGATTAGAATGCGTACTGACTGTGCCTTAGGGAGATGATTTTCAACATCGCGAAGACGGTGTCGTTCCTGTCGATCGGCACGACGCTGGAGAAGGGCACCCTGATCATGACCGGCACTGGTCCGGGCGTCGGCGCCATGCGGAATCCGAAGGTCGTGCTCCAGAACGGCGACGACATGCGGGTGCACATCCAGGGTATCGGGACATTGATTAACGAGGTGTACTATGAATAGGAGGAGAGGTGAAGAGACGCGTGAGGTTGGGGGAGTGGGACCTATAGACCCGACAGAAAAAGCAATAACAACCAACGTCTCAGGCTCGTCGGACCGGAATCCGAGAATTGCGGGATTATTAAGTGAGCCGAATGCCTGGTATTTTTTTTCTCGCTTTTATTCCGTCTGTCTGTGGGGCAAAGGCTTGGTGTGTGAGGAGAAGAAGGTTGACCCGAGAATTTCGGAAGACGTTAAGGGGACGGTGAGCAAGCACGAGCGGTGCGGACCGCAACAGACCCACAACTGTTCCGAGGATTCCCTTCTCTCGCCACCACGAGCTCAGCCTTGTCCCCGTGTATGCAATTCAGCAGCTGCAAGCACTCTTACAAACCTGTACTACAAACCCTTACTAAATTCCATTCAGGAAGCGTCGCATTAAAGCTCGTCAAACCGAGGAGCCGCCTGCTAACCTCGGGATGTAACCCCGGGGTAGATCAGATCTGACTAGCCCAGATGGAACCTGAGTATGACACAGGTCCGCTGATTGCATTTTTACTCATCATACAGCGGCATTTTCCAACGGTAAGGATGCCTCAATATTCTCGCGGTCTCCAGCTCTGTCACCGGGTACAGAGAAAACGTACTCGTCTTCTCGTGTTCGTGGAGTGGGGCAATAATTATTCAGTGCATCCAAATTAATCCACTCGCTTATCGGATCAGCTAAAGCACGTGTGTCGTACTGGCCGTTTTTGCTTTGTTTGAAAGAGCAGGGAGTGCTGGGCACGATCTGCCCTTCTGGAACATTGAAGGATCAGCTCTTCTTTTCTTTCCAGGGATACAAGGCTGCTGCTCATGCCGAGGTACGTCGAACCCTTTCGGTCCTCCTTTGGTGATATGATCCTGGGCGAAACGCTTCAAAAGCAAACATCCCTGGCCTCATATCGCCGATCGTTGTACTAAAACGGCCAGCCACAGAATAGTGGACCTCGGTATGCTGCGTCTGCTCGTAATGCGTATAGCAAGGACAGCTGATTATTGCAGCAGAAGCGAACAGGCGACCCACAGTTTTTCATCCTTCCTATTCTGGGTCCTTAACATCCTCAAACGCTGTGGGTACCACCCCGGATCAAGGTTCTCTCCACGCCGCACGCCACTGTTATCGCGCAATCTGTGCTCGGATAACAATCAATTGATCATGCCATGAGGAATCAACCCTTAGAACGCCGAGACACGCCAAGGTACAGTGGGTTGATCTCAATTTGGAACCCCGCACCGTGCAGATGAGCCCCCTGGGCCAAAAGGCTTGTTAATCACATCAGAATAAAGAATAAGGTATGCATGATTTCTTTCCCCGGAGCCATGTTGGCTACTCGTTACGGGGGTGTCTACAGAAATTCCCATCTAACAGTATTTCCGAAACAGAAAAAGTGAAAAGACCCAAACGCCATACCCTTGTAGACCCTCGCTTCTAGTTATCCACCTTTGCTGTCAATCTCATAATTGCCTCGCCAAGCTCTCGCAAGGTGGCAGCGTCCCTCGGCACCGTGTGGCCTTTGCCGTGGTCAAAGAGCTCAGCCGTATCTTCGTCGCAGAGATTGAACAATGCCATTGCTCCGTGAATGTACGGGTCGTAGCAGCCGACGATGTGGCAGGTCGGAATGTCAATGACATCGTCGCACTCATCGGCCAACAAGGCGTGCACTTCGCCGTTGTTTTCCAGCTTCAGCGGAGGCCAGCCAGCCAGGAATATAGCGGCCTGGAATAAGGTCAACGGTTTGAATGAAAGGCCATGGCAGTGGGGATTCCTACCTTGATACGGCGAGGGATTCCGTATTCCTCGAACCGCCGACGCTCCTCCAGCACAAGACTGGCCGCAGTCGTTGCTCCTTCGGAATAGCCGAGAATGCCCTTTGGTGATAATCGTCAGCTATCTGCTTTCGAGCTTCCTTTCCGGTCTACTTACTTCGATCTCCGGGTCCGCATCAATCACGTCAAACAGGTGGTTGAGGCATTTCCGCAAGTTCAAGCCGTTGCCGTTAGCTGGGCCCTGGTCGAAGAGGCGGCGCATGGTATCTTCGGCCGAGATGCCCTCAGGGAAATCGCGGATCTTGTCGAGGATGTCTTCAAAGCCCTCCATACCGTCGAATTCCACGAAGCGGTACAGTGGACCAGGACCAAAGTAGTCCTCGAAGCCTGGAGGCGGCTTCGCCGGGACTGTGCCTTGGGTCCATGTGAAATCGACCACGCCGGTCTTCTCGCATTCGGCAGCGAAGGGCCCGAGCTGGACTTTGAAATTCTGCGGGAGCAATCAGCAAAGGTACTGGAAGATACGCGGGTCCTCGAGTGCAGACCTGTGCGCTGCCATAGGCGCCGGGGAGACAGAGGAACTTCATGACGACTGTGGAAGGTGACAGAATGTCGATAGAGCTCGTCGACAGGACTGGACGGTGGCTCCGTTATCTACCCCGACCACGCGTAGGGAGACACCAGGTGTGTTTCGTTTTCCTTTTCAATACTTTCGAAGCACGCAACGGGCGCCTGAAAGATAGCGCGTCTGCGATATCAAAGGGAGCGATCTGCACCACCAAGATATTGGCGGCGATGGTTGCCACGTACGGGCCAGACCCCCCGCGGCAAGTCTTGTCGAAACAAGCAGGATCGCCTGACGGAAAAAGCGATAGCGCTGGGAGGGCCAAGCCTTAGCCACGCGGCCGACTTTAATAAATCTCTTTCACCGATTGTCTAGGCTGGGACGATGCTCGTCCGACCGTTTTGAGGCTCTCTCGTTTCCTGCGGCAAGGACGGGCCGAGAGGGACAGACCGAGAATCCGAGGCTTGACCAGCCGGTCGGGAATGATGTAACAAAACGCAAAGCATGCGGCGTCCGTGTCGCGCGAGTGCTTCACATCCGGAAACCTTGTCCGAAACCCCATCCGAGCGCCGCGTTTTAGTGTACCACTCAGACTGCGTAAATCATGCTGCTATCTGGTGCCATGACTCTCGGGCACGAGCCATGACTCTTGTGGGCTCCAGCTCATGGAACCACAACCCTGGGAAATGGTGCAATTAATGCTCCGGGGTCAAGGATTCGTTATCCGACGGCCCTCTTAAGCTAGCGAGACTCAACAGAGGAAAAAAATGGGGCCCCTGGGGAATGGGGGATGCCTGTGTGACAACAAAGGGGATCGTCGACCGAGAAGACTCCGGACCAACGGGAGCGGGGGGATCGGTCGTTGGTGCTGCGCCGAACAGAGCTTATCCACACCCCAGCCCGCCTAGCCAACTCCGCAACTCCGTTCTTTCCAATTTCGCCCTCTCTGGCCTGAAAATCATGCAGCCCTGCAGATATTCCTCAATAAGGTGTCTCACACGGAAGTATTCAGCCAGGTGGGCCCTGATCGTTTGACATTGAACTCAATCATTGATCTGCGCCATCACATGTGTGGTACGGCCACCTTCCTGTCTTGGAGAGTGCGCACTACCCTCCACCATGTCCTCAACCCGCCGTCTGTCCCAGGGCCGAAAAAGGAACATTACGTACGTTTCCAATGTAGCGCCTCGCGTAGCAGAGATTGGGTCCTTTGATGAGATTGGAAGCTCTGGGCTGTTCGGTTTCCGAGGCCGTTTACTACGGTTGCCACCGCAGACATAAAATGGACAGCCTGACAGCACCCACCCACCTGGTTCGAGACCAAGTCCCTCGGCAGCTACTCCTCTGCGTATATACCCCCGCCGGCACTGCACGTTACATGCTTCTCTGAGCTCTAAGCCTCCTTGTTTCTCACCATCGTCTCTCTTTTACCACATTAAGCTTTCGAAACAGACCCCAGGTCAGAGCCATGGCACAGCCGGCACCAAACCAGGGCGATGGCAGCCTCATGCCCGTCGCCATCGTGGGCATGTCTTGCCGTCTGCCCGGGGACGTGTCGACGCTGGAGGAGTTCTGGCGTCTGATGTCCAGAGCCCGCAGTGGATGGTCCGAGATACCAGCGGACCGCTTCAGCAAAGACGCCTACTGGCACCCCAACCCAGAGAAGAAGGGCTGCTTCAACAACGTCGGCGGCTACTTCCTCAACCAGGACCTAGCGTGCTTCGACGCCCCCTTCTTCAACATCACGGCGCAGGAGGCCCAGTCGTTAGGTAAGTCATCACGCGTCCCCGCCTTATCAGCACGCGATTCGTTTCATTAGCTGATCGCCGTTTTTCCTTGGCATGCCCACAGATCCCCAGCAGCGAATCTTGCTTGAGTGTGCCTACGAGGCGCTAGAGAACGCGGGCGTGCCGAAAGAGTCGGTGATCGGCTCCAACACGGGCGTCTTCGTGGGCGGCGCGGCGTCCGACTACCGTCTGGGCAACCTCCGAGATGCGGATCACACCCCCATGTTCGACATCACAGGCAACCATGAGTCGATCCTGTCCAACCGTATCTCGTACTACTTCGATCTGCGTGGCCCGAGCTGCACCGTCGATACGGCGTGCTCGTCGAGCTTGTACGCCCTGCACCATGCCGTGCAGAGCATTAGGGCCGGCGAGTCGGAGCAGGCGATCGTCGCTGCTTGCCACATCAATCTCGCCCCGGATGATTTTGTGAGCATGTCCATGTCTAGGTTGGTTTTGGTCATTTCGATAGTGTTGTGTGATAGCAGGCTGACTAGTACAGGCTTTTCTCCGAAGAGGGTAAAACCTATGCGTTCGATCACCGTGCTAAGTCTGGTTTCGCACGTGGTGAAGGCGCCGGGTGCTTAGTCCTGAAGCCGCTGGATCAGGCGATCCGTGACAATGACAGAGTGCGGGCGGTCATTGTCAACACTGGCGTGAACCAGGACGGCAGGACCGTCGGTAAGTGCTGTTAACTTCGAGAATTGTCCCAGTACTCACACTTCCGCAGGCTTGTCGAGTCCGAGCGGTGAGGCGCAAGAGCGTCTGATGCGCGAAGTCTACGCCAAGGCAAACATCAGCCCTGAAGACACTGGCTTCGTCGAGGCACATGGCACTGGCACAAAGGCTGGAGACCCCATCGAAGCCACAGCTATTCATCGTGTTTTCGGCAAGGGCCGGACGGCGCGACAGCCGCTGTACTTCGGTTCGGTGAAGACCAATGTCGGGCATCTCGAGAATGCTAGTGGTTTGGTCTCCGTTATCAAGGCAGCGATGATGCTGGAGAGGGGTTTCATCCTGCCGAACATCAACTTCGAGAAGCCCAATGAGGCAATACCCCTGGCCCAATGGAACATGAAGGTAAGAAACCACCATTTCGTTTCTTCCACGCATTGGCTTACACCAAACCCCCCAGGTCCCCACAAACCAACGCCCCTGGCCAACCGCCAAGCGCTACATCAGCATCAACAACTTCGGCTTCGGCGGCTCCAACGCCCACGCAGTCCTCACCAAGCCCCCACTGCCCCCCAAAACCGCCCTCGCAAAGGAAAGCGCCGACCCCATCCCCCGCCTCTTCGTCCTCTCCGCCAACGACGAAAAGGCCGCGCGCGCCTCCATGGACGCCCTCGGCGTCTTCCTCGAGCAGCACCCAGAAGTCTTCCAAAAGTCGCTGACGCGCAACATCGCCTACACGCTCTGCCAGCGGCGCTCGCACCTGGCCTGGCGCGTCGCCTGCGTCGCGTCCTCGTCCAACGAGCTCGCCATCGCGCTGAACAGCCCGGACGCTAAGCCGGGCCGCTGCGCACCTAGCACGCCGCCGAAGATCGCGTTCGTGTACACGGGCCAGGGCGCGCAGTGGCACGCCATGGGCCGCGAGCTGCTCGACGCGTTCCCCGTCTTCGCGGAATCGATGCGCAAGGCGGATGAGTGCTTGAAGGGCCTCGGCGCCGACTTCTCGCTCGTTGAGGAGTTGATGCTGGATAAGGACAGTTCGAGAGTTGGCCTCGCACACATCAGCCAGCCCATCTGCACCGCCGTCCAGCTCGCCCTGACTGACCTCCTCGCGTCGTGGGGCGTGCGGCCGGCTGCCGTGACGGGCCATTCGAGCGGCGAGATTGGCGCGGCGTACGCGGCCGGCCTGCTCGGGCTGGAGGACGCGATGGCGGTGGCGTATCACAGAGGCCAGGCCGTGATCCGGTTGAAGGAGAAGCATCCCGACCTGCGCGGCGCGATGCTGGCGGCCGGTATCGGCGCGGAGGAGGCAAGGCCGCTGCTTAAGACGTTGAAGAGTGCGGGCGGGGTGGTTGTGGCGTGCGAGAACTCGCCGAACTCGATCACCGCGTCGGGAGATGTGGAAGCGGTGGAGGAGCTGGCGGCGAAGATTGAGGAGATGCAGCAGTTTAACCGCAAGCTGAGGGTTGATGTGGCGTATCACTCGCCGCATATGGGGCTGGTAGCCGACGAGTACCGCGCGGCGATACAGGATGTCAAGCCGCTGCCGGAACAGCAGTCTGCTGTCTTCTACTCGTCGCTGCACGGGAAGAAGGTGGAGGGAGACGTCCTGGACGCGTCATACTGGGTCGACAACCTGACCAAGCCCGTCCTCTTCTCCACTTCCCTTCGCGAGCTCTGCATCAGCAGCACCCCCGACATCCTCGTCGAAGTCGGCCCGCACTCCGCGCTCGAGGGCCCCGTCAAGCAGATCCTCAAAGCCCTGGGCAAGCAAGCCAGCAAGACGAGCTACCTGCCCTCGCTCGTCCGCAACAAGAATGCCGTCACCACCTGCCTCGAGCTGGCGGGCAAGCTCTTCACGAAGGGCCACACTGCCCTCTCCTTCGAGCAGATCAACGCGCCCAAGGACGAAGTCAAGACTCCCGTCTTCCTCGCGGAGATGCCGCCGTACCCCTGGTCGCACGGGCAGAACACACGCTACTGGAGCGAGTCCCGCATCAGCAGGAACCACCGCATCAAGCGCTTCCCGCGCCACGACCTGCTGGGCCGCCTGGCGGATTACTCGAACAACGAGCTCGAGCCGACGTGGAAGAACGTCGTCTCCACCGACGACCTGCCCTGGCTGCGCGACCACCGAATGCAGGAACTGACCACCTTCCCCTTCGCCGGGTTCGTTTGCATGGCCGTCGAGGCCGCGGCGCAGCGGGCCGTCATGCGTGGTGCGAGCAGCAGTGTGGAGGATGTGGTGTCCGCCGACCACCGCTTCGTCCTGCGCGAGGTGCTCGTCACGCGCCCGCTGCTGCTCGAGGACGGCCACGAGTACGAGACGACGCTCACCCTCCGCCCCTACGCCGAGGGCACCCGCGCCTACGCCGACGCCTGGGACGAGTTCCGCATCTGCTCGTGGACCGAGGCGAAGGGGTGGACGGAGCACTGCCGCGGGCTCGTCGGCGTGCGGAAAGACTCCCCCTCCTCCTCCTCCAACCCCGTCTCCTCCGACCGCAGCAGCGTCCGCCGTCAAGCTACAAAACGGCTACAGGAGGCCAAAGAACTGTGCAACAGCACCACCACCCCCGCCATCGACCCCACCCTCTTCTACACCCACCTCTCCACCGCCGGCGCCTGCTACGGCCCGCTCTTCCGCAACGTGCTCGACCTGCGCGCCACGCCCACCACCGCCCTCGCCACCATCGCCGTGCCCGACACGGCCGCGTCCATGCCGCTCGGCTACGAAGCTGCCGGCTCGCTCGTCCACGCCGCCTTCCTCGACCAGGTGTTCCAGCTCGCGTTCCCGATGCTGGGTGCCGGGAGGTGCGCGGAAGAGGGCATGCGGGGCACGCTGTACATGCCGTCGGCGGTCAAGGAGATCAGCGTCAGGGCTGGCGGCGCCGTGCCGACGGGCGTGGGCGAGAGGATGAGGGTTGTGGCGGGGGGCAAGCCGGATCTCGTTAATCCGAGGCCGGTGGACTTTAGGGTGGAGGGGTGGAGGGAAGAGGGGGGCGAGGAGGATGGGGAGCCCGCGGTCGCCTTTGAGGGGCTGACGTTCAGCCCGATTAAGGGGGGTGCGGGTGCTGGTGGGGAGGAGGCGGAGCCGAGGGAGGTGTGCTTTAAGATGGTGTGGGAGCCGCTGGAGCAGAAGGCCGAGGCGCGTGAGGGCAATGGGGTCGTTAATGGTGGAGAGAAGCCTCACACCAATGGGGTGAATGGCGTCAATGGGCACTCAAACGGCACGAACCGCACGAACGGGCATCATCACGAGCAGTCAAATGGGACCAACGGCGTCAACGGCGTCAACGGCAAGACGGAGACCGACAAGGACACTTCCAGCGCGTCTGTCGTCATCGTCGCGGATGCTCTCGAATCGAACCCGCTCTCAGCTGCCCTCGCAGATGCCATCGCCATCCGCACCAACCAGACCGCGACGGTGTCGTCTCTGGCTGGAGCCGACGCTGCTGACAAGCTGTGCATCGTCCTGTCCGAGCTTGACAGCCCAGTGCTATCCACCGCCACCCCCGAGACGTTCGCCCAAGTCCAGAAGCTGCTGACCAAGTCAGCCGGCGTGCTCTGGGTGACCCGCGGCGCCTACATATCCGCCACCAACCCCGAATCCAACATGGCTGTCGGCCTCATCCGCTCCGTCCGCTCGGAAACCGCAGCGAAGGCCGCCACCCTAGACTTGGATCCCCACTCTACCTGCAGCACTACGGAACAGGTAGACCTGATCATGAAAGTCTTCAAGCGCGCCGTCATGCCCACGCCGCCGGGGGATGTCCCCAACGACGACCACGCCATCGACATGGAATACGCCGAACAATCCGGCGCCCTCGTCGTCCCCCGCATCGTCCCCGACGAGGCCACGAGCCTCTTCGTGCACCGCGAAGCCTCCTTTCAATCCAACACCCCCTACCTCCAGCCCTTCGCCCAACCCGGCCGGCGCCTCCGCCTCGCCATCGACACCCCCGGCGCCCTCGACTCTCTCTACTTCGACGACGCAGCCAACCCGCCCCTCGCCCCCGACGAAATCGAACTCCACATCCACGCCACAGGCATCAACTTCAAAGACATCGTCATCGCCATGGGGCAACTCCCCAACCCCTCCCCGACCGCCTCCCTCGGCATCGAGGCCGCCGGTGTCGTGTCGCGCGTGGGCTCCGCCGTCACCAGCCTCGCCGTCGGCGACCGCGTCGCCGCCATGCCCGACGGCGCGTACGGCACGCACACGCGCTGCAAAGCGTCCAGCGCGGCGCGCATCCCTGCGGACATGTCGTTCGAGCACGCGGCGTCGATACCGATCGTCTTCTGCACGGCGTACCACGCGCTGGTTGACCTGGCGCGGCTGCAGCGCGGGGAGCGCGTGCTGATCCACGCGGCGGCGGGCGGCGTCGGGCAGGCGTGCGTGCAGCTGGCGCGGATGCTGGGGGCGGAGGTGTACGCGACGGTGGGGAGTGTGGACAAGAAGGCGCTGTTGGTCGAGGCGTACGGCGTGCCGGCGGACCGCGTGTTTTACTCGCGCGACACGGCGTTCGGGGACGCGGTGAGGGAGGCGACGCCCGGTGGTGAGGGTGTTGATGTCGTCGTGAACAGTCTTGCGGGCGAGTTCCTGCGCGAGTCGTGGGCGTGTTTGGCGCCGTTTGGAAGGTTTGTGGAGATCGGGAAGAGGGATATTACGGCGAATACAAGGCTCGAGATGGCGAGGTTTGCGGATTGCGCGACGTTCGCGTCGTTGGATTTGACGAGGTTGGCGAACGATCGGCCGAAGGTTATGGCGAGGGTGTTGGAGGCGGTGATGAGGTTGTTTGAGTTTGGGGCGGTGAGGCCGGTGCAGCCGGTTAAGGTGGTGGGTGTGGGCGAGGTCGAGGCGGCGTTTAGGCTGTTGCAGAGCGGGAAGACGATGGGGAAGGTCGTGGTTGTGCCGAGGGCTGGGGAGAAGGTCATGGTGAGTGCTGCTCGTACACCTTTAGAAACAGGGCTGGAAGACTGACATTTTTCTCACTAGGCTACCCATCCTCGCAAACGGGATCTGTTCCGCCCCGATGCTTCGTACCTGATCGTTGGCGGTACCGGCGGTCTCGGCCGCAGCATGGCCAAGTGGATGGTACAGAAGGGCGCGCGCACCGTCGTCCTGCTCTCTCGCAGCGGCAAGACCGACGGCAAGGTCGGCCAACTGATTGAAGACATGAAGCAGTCTTTCGGCGCCAACATCGTCGTCCGCGCCTGCGACGTCGCCGACGAGCAGAGCGTAAGAGCCCTCGTCGACGACTGCACCACCAGCCTCCCGCCCATCCGCGGCGTCATCCACGCCGCCATGGTCCTACGAGTAAGCCACCCTTCTTCCCCCATCTTCCCTCCCTCCCCTCCTCCACATCACCTTCTAACCCGCCTGCCTCACCCCCTAGGACACCCTGTTCGAAAACATGGCCTTCCCGGACTTCCAAACCGTCATATCCTCCAAGGTCGCCGGCGCCTGGAACATCCACAACGCCCTGCTCCCCTCTTCAACTCCCCTCGACTTCTTCATCGCCCTCTCCTCCGTCGCCGCCATCGTCGGCAACCGCGGCCAGGCCGCCTACGCCGCCGCCAACGCCTTCCTCGACGCTTTCGTCCAGCACCGCCGCCAGCACCTCGGCCTGCCCGCCACCTCTGTCGACCTGACCGCCGTGTCCGACGTCGGCTACCTGGCCGACAGCGTTGACGCGGCGCGGCGCAACGAGGTGCTGACGAACATCGGTGGCGACACGCTTGTCGAGAGTGAGGTGTTGGCGCTGTTGGCGGCGGCGGTGGAGGGGGAGCAAGGCGTGCTGGAGGGTTGTGGTGGGCATTGTTTGACGGGGCTGAGGTTTCCCCGAGCGGAGGGAGGCGTGCAGCCCCAGTTACCGTTCTATGCTGACGACGCGAAGTTTAGTGTGCTGCGCGCGGCAGCGGTGGCGGACGCGTCTGCCGCGGCGGCGGAGGCTGCTGGGGGCGAAGGTGGCGCAGCGGTGAAGGTCTCGCTTGCGCAGGCGCTGGCCCGCGCGGCTAGCAAGGAGCTGGCGGTTGATTTGGTGTCCCGCGCGTTGCTGGAGAAACTGTCGGCGATTCTTACCGTGCCGCTGGAGGACATGGATGCCGATGCTGAGAGGAGCGTCACGACGTATGGGCTGGATTCGCTGAATGCGATTGAGTTGCGGAATTGGATTGCGAGGGAGGTGAGGGGAGTTAACTTGCAGGTGTTGGAGCTGTTGACGAGTGGGAGTGTGAGGGCGTTGGCTGGGGTGGTGGTGAAGAGGGCTGGATTAGAGTTCAAGGAGGAAGGGGAACAGGCTGAGGCGTGATGGGATCGATTTGGGAAATTTGTCTAGATGGAATGAGATCGGAGGAGTTTTTGGTTTCTGGTTGGTCTCATTGGTTGGGAGTTCATTCTTCGGTTAGATTAGTGGACGTTCGTTTTTCAGCTCTAGATCCCAATCGTCTTCATCCTCCTTACAGTATTGATGTTTCCATTCATACATGGTGAACGTGTGTCGCGTGCACTCAACTTCTTCCCGTAATTTTCCCTTTTGGCATGTGCTCGATGTCGCGATAGAGAAGGAAGAGCTAGGCTGGTAGTGGAATTTAGTTGGCACTACCTCTTAGTACCGAAGACCCTGCTCTCGTATTCGGGGTTCGGGCCGTAAACGGGCATTACCCGCTGTCTTGTTCGTTCGTTCTCCTTTCTCTTGACTTGACAAGCTGAAGTTACAACAAGGATTTGCTGGTATGTACGTCTGGGCCAGAATCGAATGGCCTACTCCTAAATAAAATGAGGTCTTCTGTAGCGCTCCTTCTGCATCTGCAGCAGCTGTAATTACTTTGACGTAAATTCAATGGTCTTCTTATCGGTTGGGCGACTCCTGCCCACCAGCTTCATCAGGCCGCGTCGATCTGCTAAGCACTAGGAGAATAAAAGGAGCGGGAATCGAGGCAAGGGAGTGCCGCGTTACGCTGCTAAATACTGGCGTAGATCCTTCCGGCGACGACAGCAGCCACATGTGGGGGGCGTCGGGTGCGTCTGTAGTGTGCGGGGTTCGGTAATCGGCTACGAATACTTGATTATACATAACGCGTACTTTGAGGCGATCGCCGAGAGCTGCCGGAACCATCGTCCTCTGGTCTGAGACGGCGTCATCACTAGCGAGCAGTCAGGGACGGCAGACGGATCCCTTCGGAGCCGGCCCGGCCTACCGCGAGGGACGGATATCTTAGGCTGCCTGTCAACCACTATTGCGTGGCGAGTAGGATGAGGGTTGAAGTGGACTCTCCCGCCTTCTACGCTTCTTCTTCGCCCACCCCTCATCGTTCCATATCTCGCTTGCTTGCGGCTCTCCGATCGCTGACTCTTTAACGCATAATATTGGACAATTAACACACCACGTGCCGCGTCTCCCTGCGACGGGTCCAGCCCAACCCAAACCTATTCGCTGCGCAACAGGTCCATAGACGTCGACGGACTTACTTCCGCCCCTTAGCGTCCCGCGCTATCGCTTCCCCCCTTCTTTTCGCCTGTTTCATCCCTACCGCTCTTTATTTTATCGCGACGCCATCCTCAGCCGCGCCGTGCCGCGTCTCTGCAATAATATTCCACGGACCAAAAAAGAACAACAGAAGAACCCAAAACGACACGCCCCGCATAACGCCTCCCGAAACTCAAAAACCCCTCAACCTTATACCAACACCCCCCATCATCTTTTTCCTTCCATCTGCAAAAGAATTCTCCGACAACACCGTTTTTCCCTTGTTATTGCTCTCTCGGCTCCTCGGCGATCCTTGCGTGGATCTACGTCGGCTCTTCTTGGATACCTACCCCCTTCCCCCCGGAGCTGTGCCCGCGCAGGATACGAACCGCACGTAACACCATGCCGTCCAAACGCGGCGGCTCTATCGCCACCACAACCACCTCCACCAACGCCAACGCCACTGCTGACGTCGACGACGCCGCCATCCGCAAGCGCAAGCAGAACCGCCTCTCGCAGCAATGCCTGCGAGAAAAGCGTTCCGCCGGCGTCGCCAACCAGTCTTTCTTTGAGCGACTGGGCGCCGACATCCGGCGATTGCGAGAGGTGTGCGAGCAGCAGGGAGGAGGGGGACTGGGTGGAGGTGGCGGTGGCGGGGCTGGGGATGGCGGGGTTGACGTGGTGGCGGAGCTGGTGCGGATTAATGAGGGGCTGATTGAGGAGAATCGGTGTCTACGAGAGGCAGTGCTGCGGATGCGGAAGAAGCTGTTGAGCATGAGTGGGCAGGCGAGTGCGGCGGCTGGTGAGTTCTACGTTGTTTCTCCTGTCCTCTTTTTTTTTTCCCTCTCCTACGAGATTTGGGGGGCATGGAGCGGGAAACGGCACAAGACGGCAGGTGTGGGGCCATGCAGGGGGAAAGGAACTGACGTGCATAACACAGAGGACCCAGTGTTCCAGAAAATCCTGGGGAAGGAGTCCGATGCGCCTGAAACGACGGGCGGCGGCGCTACGTCAAACAAGCGGCGGAAGACCTCGTCGAGCACCGGATCGGGGTCGGCGTCGGGTAGGGCTGTCGGATATGCATCATCGGATGCGGATGAGCCGGATCGCAGCGAGCGGGCAGCGCTCGATGAAGGGGAGATCCTGGCAAACTTTCCGCTCGAACCGTCTGGATCCTTCAACCCCCTGGTAGCGGCAACGTCTGCGCCCCAGGCCAGCGCTATGCAAGCCTTCCATCAACAACAACATCGGCCGGGGGATCCGCTATGCATGGAGTTTCCGCCAACTACCAGACCGCTGCCGGGCCAGGACTTCCATACCGCGCCGAACTTCTCGTTTACGAGTGTTCCGCAGATATCGTTGACGAATACGGCTATATTGGACGCTTGGATGAGTCGCTCGTACGCTAATCTCTTAACCCAGAAGATCGAGAACGTATGTGTGCAGTACGTCCTCAAATCGAGAGCTTGCAAGCTGGACATGGGAGGTGGTCTTGGACCTCTCTACCAGCAGTTTGATGAGAGAGCAATAGTCGATCGGCTGGCAGATATTGCAGTCCACATGATATTTGACGACACTGGACTAGGAAGATTCATCAACGTCCTTGAGGTTTGTTTCACGATGCTCGTTACCGATAGACGTAGCTAATCGTTACGCAGGGTGCAAGGGAATTCCTCCGATCAGCTGTGGCATGCCACATCATGTTGGGCTCCGCAAAACCGCACGACATAGTCGACGAAAACGTCACCGACACTCCCGCCTTGACCACCAGCGCAAAACCCGCCATCGTCGACCTCATCGCATGGCCGTCCCTCCGCGACCAGATGATGTTCCACAGCAGCTTCTACGACCTCGACGAAATGATCGAGGATGTCGTCAACTACTGCGTCGCCGACATCCCCGAGCAGAACCTCGCGTTGCAGATGTACAGTACACCGCCAATCACCTACCCGCACGTCACAAGCCCCCAGGACTACGAAGCCGTCAAGCCGTTTAGGTTCTCGGAACGCGAGTTCACGCACAAGATGGTGCAGATCAGCAACCGCGATCTGTTCGACATCATCGCCCAGCGGATGGAGGAGCCGCCGTGCACGGCCGCTAGCATTCACGCGCATTCGGACATGTTGCGAACGTCGGAGAGCGAGTGCTTGCCGGCGAAGACGGAAATGGCGAGAACCTTTAAGGGGTACAGACTAAGCGACGCCTTCTTCAAGAAGTATCCGTTCTTGCAGTGCTCGTCACGTAAGTCTACAACCATGAAACGTGTGTATGTGTGATCATGAGGGGACTAATGAGCAGAAAGTGGCATCTCCGTATCCCTTCTACCCCTCCTCGAAAATCCAGGGCTACTGAATGATCCACCTGCCATGACGACAATGACGACAACGAGTGTACGGACTGTAAATACTACACTAATAGCCCCAGGTTCTGTGGTAGCCTTCGGGTCTCAACGCCTTTGAACACAAGAGGCCCCCAGTTTGCCTTCAGAAGCCGCGTAGATTCCTCCCACATCTCACCTCCTCGCCTACGAGCTCTCCTCCAAGACTAAGCGCAGTCTCCCGATGCGCCAGATACATAAACAATATTACGTCCGCTTAGACGCATCTCAAGAATTTTCTATGAGGAGGGAGTTTCTGGTGTGGCTTTTTGCAACGTGGTGTGGCAAAATAGCATAGCCCTCTACGAATTCATACGAGGACGTCGCAAGAGAGGGGAAGAGGGAAAGGCCGATACCATTATTGGCTTTGGGAGGGAGCGGGGAGCAAAAGGCCATGAGATGAGGCAGAGAAAGCAGCTATACCCTGTCTGCTCAATTCCAATGACCTCAGCCGTCCGGTGGTTGACAGGACGCTGAAAGTCACCTAACGATCTTTAGCCCTCCTATCCGAGTGGCTAAAAATGATTTGTGAGAAAGTGTATTCTCGTAAAATAGACGCAAATTAATACTGCCGGAGATATTGACTCTCCAGATGGCTCCATCTAAAATTTTCCTTTTCTAAAGTTATGGATTCGCAGCCCGTCTTACCCGAAATATGTATACAAACGTCCCGTCAGAAGTTCTCATCTCAACGAATTTCCTAGACTCTCCAGACTCAACCCCGCGCGACCTTGCGAATGAAGATAAGAGGCACCTAAAGTCAAAAAACCTGTTTAAGAAAAGTTACTGAAACGTTTAAGGTAAAGCGCAGGTATGTACTGAGTCCTACCAAATGCCAAGGCTCTAAGCACAGGCCAATAGCGGTGCAGTGAGCTCGCCCGCTGATCTAAACATAGCGTAGGCTGTGCACGAGGTACTCGCGTAGAAGTTGCAGGCTACCAAAGCAGACTTGATCATCTTAGCTAAAGACAGCAGCAACTCGCTCTGGCTGCTTTCATTAGAGTTAGATATTTCTCTCTTGGGGCAATTGCCAAACCCAACTCTTTTTTTATGAAAAATCCCAAACCCGAACATCGCCGGCTAAACCCAACAATCGTCGGCCAAACCCAACTTCTTCACCAAAATCTACCATCTTTTAACCGCAGTAGAACTTTTAAAAAAAAAATAGAATCTAGGTGCTTTCTTACTACTATAGCAATAGCTAAGCCTATAGATATCTATTATAATATTTTATATGTAAAAGAGAAGGTTAACCTGTACGGTCTAAGAGTTGGGTTTGGCCAGCGGTAGTTCGTTTTGGGGTTTTCTACAAGAAAAGAGTTGGGTTTAGTAATTCACCCTTTCTCTTTTTTCTCGGCATGGGATTAAGTCTTACGCACACGTTTCTTCGCTTCCTCTTCGGAAACCGAGGAAGACCAACGTAGGTGTTACCACATCTCTACCTGGAGTTGACCTGCAAATGCCAATGCCTCATTACTCCGGTCCTTGTGTTGGTGTTGGCTTACAATCTCCGTGGACTAGACCGTTTTCGTACTCGGCAATTGGGGCTGAAGAACAAAGAAGGCAGACAACGTGGGGAATGTGGGGGCCTAACCGTTTTGGTGAGAACGCCATTTCTCATTGCGGAGTATCGCAGGGGGCTTGGGGCAGATACTGCTGCAAGGCTTTCCAAGGTACCTTCTCAGTCGCATGCCGGCGACCATCATCCTTTGGAACACCCCCAGGAACTTAGGCGTGGCACTGTTGAGTTGGGGTCTAAAAGGAACCGTTAGAATCCAATAGGTTGATGGAATCCAAAAAGGATCGTCTCTCAGCTACAGGTGATGTAATTGATGGTGCCGCTGACCCGTCTTGTTATTCGAAACCCTTACACGCCCCAGGAAGCGTAGTTGGGTGTCTTAGTATGTTACGTCAATAGAAAGAGACAAGACCTAGTTATACGAGACAGAATATTTATAAAGCTCACTGCTCCTGCGACTTTAACTTCTCAACATCAAGCCTCTACATCTTCCACTACACAGTCTCAACGTCTTCACCAAACAACCATGAAGTTCTCTTACATCGGCCTCATATCTGCAGCCCTCGCCTGGCCTGCTGCCGCCGCCGCCGTTGCGGGCGATGCTGACACGACCTCTGCTGTAAGTCGAGCTATCACAAGGCTACAGGCGTGTCACTAAGCAGAGCTTCCAGCAACACCAGCCCGATCTGAGCGCTCGCGCCACGATTAAATGTCCCAAAGTCCAAAGCAGCATCGTCGATTCATGCAAGCGGTGGTGTAGTTGCACTGGAGGAAAGATCTATTGCACGGGAGATGATGTGACTGCTGATGACTGCAAGACGGCCAAGTGCAAGTGTTAGTGGATGGAAAGAGAGGGAAGCGAGATTCTACGGCAACACTTGTTTCTACTTCCTGTTTTGCGGTTTTTGTTGGTGTCTGCTCATGATGATTCCATGACGCTCGTTTCTATTTCTACTTGCTAGCTACCTTACACTATCAGTGGGTAAATTGATACAATTACCTAAACTTTATCTTCTGGGTATTAACTTTATCTATCTTCGCGATGTTTTTATCTTTCCAAAGAATAGGAACTCTTATTAAAATTAGTATAGCTTCTTTTGCTAGAATATGTAGATACATTTTAACGAATACAATTGATACATAATCACTTTACTTAATGCTCTTAATAGTAAGAATTTTTAAAGAGTAGAGACGAAGCGATACGATGCGTTAAAGTACTAAGACTATATAGGAAGAACGGAAATATGTCTAGCATTTTTAATTCCCAATACTAGGATGGCTACCATGTAACATTCGGTTTTTCTACGTGAACAGCCCGAAGGAAGTCTACGAAAGGTATTCTAATGGTAAAAAACCCATTCACATATTCCCAACCCTTCACACAGCTTCTACTGCCATAGACTCTCCACTTTCACTTCGCGCTCTTCCTGCAGATGTCGAGAGCCATATCTGAAGTAAACGGCCTAAGAAAACGCCATAAAAGCGATTGTACATCGTATATAGGCCTACTACGACAGCCAAGCCAACCAAAATTATCGTAAGCAAGGCCTTGAGCCCAATGCTAATACTAGCCTTAGTCCAGACCAAGGCCAGAACGGATGCAAAAATTACTGAAACGAAAAGTAACATGAGACTCAACCGAGAGACTTGTCCAATTTCCTGTAAACGTGTTGGTGAGAGCTGTTTGAAGCTCAACCAGGCGACTTGTCCCTTTTCCACTAAATGTGCTGGTGAGAACTGTTTGAAGGCCCACCCGATGAATACGTGCGCCGGCACATCCTTGCTGTCCAGCGCATAATCAACCCTAATCCTGCGGAACAATTCCCGTTTGCGATCGATGATGACACGGCTTCGGACGGCCAGTCTCACGCCGTATGATAAGCAAAGGAATAGGAAGCAGACTCCAACGAACCCAGCCAGAGTGGGCATACTCTCTTGCAATTCCCTTACTTGCATGCTGAACAAGCTCACTGAGAATGTGAGCGGTATGAATATGAAGGCAAGCTCCGTGAGCTTGGCAACGCCTTCGGCTTCCGCAATGCCTCGCTTGCTTTCCAGTATGGAGAGTTCTGCTCTGAGTGCCTTGTGAGCCTTCTCAACACGCGTAATGAGATCATCGATTTGTCTTGCCAGATCATCGACCTTATTTCTCACGTATGGTGGGACGTTATCTGAGAAACACCAACCCACAAACTCGTGCATTGAATCTTTCATGAGTGGAAGATCAGCTTGGTAACTGCGAATAAGCGATTGCCAGGACGCTAAACGCTCTTGTTCCTGCGAGTCATCCATGGATCCAAGAGAAATCTCGCTCAGCGCAGCTGTGAGCAAGGATAGTGTTGTGCTGGTGTCGCGGCTGACTATCTCCAAAATGGCAACGAACAAGTGATTTGCGCTTTCTGAGAGGCCGTGACGTGTGTACTCTGTCATCCAAGCCTCCAAATCATGCAACATTGACGTGGTGGTCTCGAAGAATGCTGTGCTTTGGTTGATATTTGTTTCGTGGATGAGTTCATCAACTGATAATACCGGCGGAGGAGATCTTGGGTGGACATGAATCGGAAACTTGCGCTCCTCCACGGTCTGAAAGTTGCTTGATAAGCCTGTTTGGGTTTTGGTTTGCTTGGTGTAATTTATGTACGGTAGAGGGTCGACAAAAGCGATGGCTGCTTTCAATGAGAGATATATCAACAGACTGGACGATATGACTCACCTATTTTCTGACCCTGCTGTTCTTCGGTATAGAGCGTCACCCGTTCCTTGATCGTTGCCAAGGTCCTCTTGTTCTCCTCTTCCTGGGGATCTATTACCACAGAAGAAAGTGGTATTTCTTGGCGGGAAATATTACTGCACCGCGTGAGCCTATGCGTCAGTCTTGCGCGCCTTGGCGCATGGTTTTCGGATCTCATAATTTTCGTCTCTTCCCACTCAGCTCGACGGGAGCTCTCGAACGCTAGACGCACATGTGCAGGCGTTTTGAGCAGATCAGCCTTGTAGACAGGACGGTACCATTTGATTGATACGTATTTCTTCTTGGGGTTTCGGAAGCTCCATGTGGAAGGGTCTGGATCCTTGTAAGTTGAGATGCCGTATCCGGACCTGTTCAAATGTTCGGCAAATACTTCAGGTCCAATACCAAAGGCAGCATAGATACCTTTGATGAGTTAAGGGCTCAGATCTTCTACCAGAACAAGGCGTTCGGTTCCGATTGTCAAAGGCTTCCTCGAGAGGCAGTCTCGCACGTTATCCCAGGTAGACTGGCTCCCAACTCTGACCTCATCAATTTCTTTGAAAGTTGATATGGTTTCCGATATCTGGTACATCTTGACGAGAGCCGATGCCGCGGCTTCCATATCGGTTTCTGGAAAAAGGACTCCCAAGTGTGGCAGCCACTTTGATATTTGGCCGATGTGGGCTTGAAGAGACCCAGCTTCCCGCCTGTGGCTTCCGTTCCAGAGATCCTTGACTTTTAATTTGTAGTCATCCTGGGATTCGCTACCTATCGAGTCCTGAGGCATGGATGGATTATTGACTGGAAATATGGAATCCATGGAGCTTGCTGCTGACGGAGGAAGTGGAATTTTGTGAGCTGGGTCAGGCGAGTCAGATACATAAGCTCCTCCAACTTCAAAAATCGATTCTGAAGGTGGCAGCGGAACGTCGTGCGCCGTATCAAATGGGAAACTCATTTCAGCCACAGAACTAGTTACCGATGGAGGTAGAGGAATTTGGTGGACTGTGTCGACGGGATGAGCTTCTCTGAAAACGGAGTTGGCAGCGGAAGGAGGTAATGGAATTTCGTGGGCTGTGTCAAAAAGCGAAGCCTCTCCAGCTACGAAGACTGGAGGCGATGACGTTAAGGACAATATTGGAGAAGCTGACGACGATGGGACCAATGATGTGTTGTCGGCATTGTTTCCGCCATGGGCCGGCTTGTATGGTGACACTGAGTGAGGGATCGTGAGTCCAACGTACTCGCAAGGCTCATTATTATGAGTTTGCGTGTCTGATCTGTGTGGAGCATCGGCGCCTATTCCGGCGTCGTGTTGGTCTGGCTGAGGTGCCGATATTGGGATGACTATTGATACTGAACTCATTGGCACAAGTCCTATGATCGTGAAAGGGGACTGGATTTATGGTGGGAGAGGAATGATGCTGTCAGACTGAAAAGGTTGCCGAGGAGCCCTCTCTTGCAGTAGTGCCCTTTTTGTAGGACGATACACGAAACACTACTTTCTTTTCATACATGCAAAATCTCACCGATGACAGATCAGTAAACTGAAGCTATTCCCGATTTAGACTTCCCCGCCTTTAGCGACCCATGGAGCCAAAATGCCAGCACATCTTTGTGTCAGGAGAAAAAAATTTCATCACACGATTCGAAGCACAAAGAAAGCCAATGTAACATTCCTTTAAGCCCTTTATCCATCAGTAACTATATCAAGAAATATGATGGACAGAATCATAATAAGCAGTCCGCTAGTGACTGCGAATGTCAAGAAGAAAGATGTCCAAATTAGAGCAGATGCAGCCGGCCCAACAGATGCACCAAGTAGCTTAAATACTGTAAATTCTAGAGTAGTACTCATAGCACTGGCGGAGAAGTGCTGCCAAAAAGCCGAGATGATAATGAAAATAGCGGCCACGAAGCTCAAGGAGAAGGCAGCGAATGAAATCCGCATGTTTGGGAAAGGTTTCACGTCGACGTCTGAACCTGTGGTACTGCTCACCTCATTGTGCCAACCAGGAAACGTCGCCAGAAGAAAAAGTGTTATCACCTCCAAAATGATTGCAACGATGCTGCTCATTGGCGTTAGCTGTGTTCTGTTATTCAAGAAAGCGTCTTACATAAGATATGGGAATATGATATCGTCTTTAAAGTGACTGCCATTGTTGACTACGTCAAGCGGATCTGTTGTGTCGTTGAATGTGCTCCTCAAGTCAGTGATGTTGTTTGAGCATGTCCATCCCACGCCTCCTGGGTTCAATACGCAGAGGCCAAAATAGCCCACTCGTATTTCTAGTTGTGCCCGGCCAATAACTGTGGCAAGCGCCATGAGAAAGGTAGGGTTTTCAGTAGAGTTGTGGCTTTGCTGCGGAGAATATTTGAGAGACACCACATAAATATTACTAATCGCACTCATTGACGAGGAACAACCGGAGAGCAATATGGCTATCATTGTTAGTTCAAGCTCAATCCTAAGTAGGGCGGCGATAAAACACACATTGAAGGATAATTGCGGACACAAAGAAGTGCCTGAAGTGCATGGCGATACGTGAGAAATGAGCGAACCCGTTGTATGGCGAGCTGCAATTTGGTATACATTTTTCTTGGCCTCTAAGTTCGGATGGCAGGAAGGAGAAGAGAACGGATGAGTCTTTGAGCATTTGGCAGACACGTAATAAATATGCACATGAGCTCCAGTTGTCATACACACAGTCGGGTGTGGAGCTTATCAATTCGCAGTACCACCTGCATGAATCCTGCAGCGCTAGTACCAATATAGACTGGAGTAGCAGCAGCTCGTTTATCTCCGAACCCCACTTTCATAAAGTGTTATGTACGGGAATGTCTTGGGACAACATGGGACGATGAAAGATTGCGTAAAGAATTTAAGGCGTTACAAGCCTTAGCAAACTTGTGACCGATACAATGAATTGTTTCAGTATCGGAACCAGTAAGCTCCACGGTAGGGCTAGCGTCCGAGGCACGATGAGGCAATTTGAGACTCGCAGAGTAGACATGGCCGTCCTTGAACGGGCTATCAAGCACAACCGGCTTTAACGGAGTCTTCGAGTCCTAGGGTGCAGTCCCAGCGCATCCCCACCAGTAGAGAATGGCCTTACGAAGTAGCACCTCGCCTTGGTGATAGTACCACCGAAAGGCGCGCGAGCCAATCCCGAGCGGCTCCAGAAAGCAGCGTAATCCACAAAAATTTAATGTTGCTTGCATATCAGATGTCTCTCGTACAGATCTTGTATTATCGAAAGACACATCTCTATTTATACGTCATATTTGTTGGAGATTTCAAGGCGATAGTTTAAAATAGCCAAACTGAATGGCTGTCTCGACTAGGAAGAATGTTTGCCTTTCTTTGCGCAACAAAGCCATGTCATCCTTGAGCGACAAGCGTGCCGCTCGTCCGACCCTGCTCAACATGTAGATGGACAGAGCTGGGGATACAAATGCAAAATTATTTGAGCGCCAAAACTGGAAGCCCACACTTCAAGTGCAACAAGTGTTGTACAATCTTGTCGCTCACTGCTGCGTATTCTGCATACCTTGATCACTGCCACCATGACGTCCCCTAGAAGAGTAGATGCATAGAATTTAAATCTAACACCCTTCTTATCTTTACCGATCTTTCCACCACCAACGAATCTCCATCGCGTACTACTTCAAGAATTCAATCTAATGTGGACGCCTTTGGTTTAAATAACAGGTCTACAGGTAAGACGGAGGGCAGAATCGAGTCTTACAAGTCTTTCTATCCACAATTCCTTTAGCTACAAAACTTACCGGACATAATTCCATTCAAGTCAATGTAACATAGCTGGCTGGCTAAGCGTCACATGACCGCGATATACATCCATGTCAGTGGTGCTTCCAGGTAAACAACCAACCCTGTATCATTTTTGAAGCTTCCAGGGAATTCCTTCCATGTTAAGTTTTAAGGTCTGCTTAGACTCAAGTCATTATAAGGTTCTTTGTAGTTCACCGTGCTTCTCATTTTGTGGAGTCTACTATGAATGGTACTTCCTAGCCAAGACAAATATAAAGCGATGGAGATGTCGTTCTATATCAGACTGAGAAAATCTCCTCTGACTTTTGATTAATGGTTTGCACGGCGGCGGTCTTTGCCATCTTTGACACCTGCCATCTTTGACACCCATTCCTCAAGATCAGACCGCCAGGATGGCTGACGAAGTAGCTTGGAGGTAGTAGGAACGTCCACCCATCCAGTCCTAGTATAGAGCTCCTCATCCCTGTCCTTCCATCCTTGATTGGCATCCACAAAATCCCACACTCGATCCATATCCGTAGCTCCAAGGAATTTCTGCATGACTGGTCTCTCCCGAGGCCGAACCCAAGGCAAAAGAGCCAACACTGCTTCTTCGTATCCAAGAGCGGCAGCGATATGGATTGGCATGTATTGGTCTGACGAAAATGTTCGGTCAGGGTTGACTCGCCGACTGTTGAGCAGTGCCTTGATCACTTCCGCATCTCTGTCGATGTATTGGTACCTCGATGAGAAACGTGCCGCAAGCAACTTTTCATTGCCAATTCTTGGGCTTTCATTCACTACTGCCAGCACAGCATAGAGAAGCGGTGTCGCATTAGTTTTGTCCATCGAGTCCGGCTCCACTTCTTTTATGGAAAGAAGCCTCTTTACCACATTCAAGTTGTGTCTCCCTACTGCATAAGACAGCGGCGTTCTTCCCCTTGTGTCAGGCTTGTCAACGCTCACTTCGGGCAGGGATAGCAGGTAAGCAAGGATCTCTCTACAGTCGTTCTCAGCAGCGTATGAGAGCGGTGTTCTGCCATTTTTGTCGGGGAGGTCTGGGTCGAATCCCCTGTCTATGAGCCTTTGTACGACGCTCAAAGGGTCGTACAGCGAAGCAGCGGCGTAGGACAAAGCGTCACGGCCGTTCTGATCCGAATGCTTGCAGTTTACCAGATCCTTTGATAGAACGATGGAAACAACGTCTTCCCAACCGTAGGTTGCTGCATGAGAAAGAAGATGCCTTCCGGAGGAGTCGAGCGATTCCAAATTGTAAATGTCGCTCTCGACGAGGACCATCACCATGTGATGCCGGCCGGCCTGTGCTGCGGCCAAGAGTGGTCTATTCCCCGGCTCGTCGCTTGTATCCTTTTCCACTCTACTGTTGTCCAGAAGGCAATGGACAACGGGTGATTGACACTTCACTGCTATCTTGAAAGCCGTTTCCCCGAGTTTATTTCGCGCATTAACTTGGACATCGTTTCTCTGCAACAGTCTGTTGGCAGCGGTCTCTCGTCCATATCTGGCAGCAGCGATCAGCGGTGTATCGCCATCATCGTTCTGTTCGTTGACATCGACTCCTTCAAACGACAGCAACATGTCCATGATCGTATCTTTCCCATGTCGTACCGTGGCCATGAGCGCTGTGTCTCCGAGATGACCTTTATCGTTTATACCAATGCCCTTCACGGCCAGCAAGGCCAGTGCAACAGCGTCTTGGCCAGCGCGACATGCCACGATAAGTGGAGTATCACCTCCATCAACTTTACAATTGACAAAGCTGGCCATGTCGAAGGATTCTTCTTGTGACATCCCATTAGAACCGCTAGCGCATTGCTTCCGCTGACATAGTGTATTGTTGTGGTCTAGAAGCTGCTCGACGATAAACAAATGGCCCAAGCGGGCCGCCAGCGAAAGAGCACTGTCTCCTGAACTGTTGACTTGGCTTCTTTCGATCTTCGGTGAAGCGAGTAGATATGCGACCATGCCGTATGATCCATTCGCTATTGCGATGG